TAGTAGGATACTGTCAGATTTTACCCAGGTTTTGCGATTCTGGCCTCCATATGTGAATAAGCAAATCTTTTTAGTTTACGAGATAGGCAATTTTCGAGATTTTTCAAAATTTTCTAGAAAATTAAATTTGAAAAAATTTCTCAGTTTTTGAAATTCTCACCCTGTAGTTGGGTGTTGTCAGGGTATTCTCAGGGGCTGCAAATCTTGCCTCCAATTCTCACTTCTCAAATCTCTGTAGTTTTCGAGATATGACGTTTTTTTGTTGTGATTTTTCAAAAACTTAGATTTTAAAAATTTCCAAAACGCTGAAGATCTCAATCCTGTTGTTGGATATTGTGAGGGTACTCTCAAGAATTGCGAATCTTGCCTCTGATTATGGCTGCTCAAATTCTTGTTTTCGAGATGTGACGTTTTTTGGATTTTTTCAAAATATTTCAGAAAATTTAGATTAAAAAAATGTCACAAAACTTGAAATTACCATCTCTGTAGCGACGCTCTGTCAAGGTATTCTCAAGAGTTGCGAGTTTTGACTCCCAATTTGACTGCTCAAATCCTTGTAGTTTTGCAGATATGACGTTTTTTATAATTTTTTCAAAAAAATTTTCGTGAAAATTAAACTTTTTTTTCTTTCAAAGTTTGAATTTTCTAACCTGTACTTGGGGGGCTGTCAGAGTAATCTCAGGGATTGCAAATTCGGCCTCCAATTAAGAATGCCGAAATCATTTTTGTTTAAGAGATACGACAATTTTTGTATTTTTTTTTGGAAATTTTCAGAAAACTCAAATTACAAAATAATTCGTAGAAGTGAAATTCCCGGCCCTGTAATTGTGTACTTTCAAAGATTGCGAATACTGCCATCAAAAAAGACTGCTCAAAATAAATTTTGGTAGTTTTCGAGATGTAAATACCTTTTTTTATAGAAAACTTAAGGTGAATTTTTTCAAAAATTTGAATTTCCCAACGTTGTAGTTGGATACTGTAAGAGTACTCTCAGGAGTTGCAAATCTTGTGTCAAAATGCGACTGCTCAATTGATTTCAGTTTCTCAGGTGTGACATTTCTTAGTTCATTTTAAATTTTTCGAAGAACTTATATAAAACTTCACAAAATTTTATGGTTTTTCAAAATGTGCATAAAAAACGTGAATAAAAAACTTAGCAAAATTTGTAATTACGAACCCTGTAATTGGGTGCTGTCAGAGTACACTGAAATAATAGTTTTTTGAGTTGTTGAAAACTCGAAGCACCGGAGGTGCGTTACACGCTAGTTTAATTTCTGCTCATCATACATAATGCTTAGCATACTGTTTCATATAAACAAAAATTTTTATAATAGAACTTCAACGATTAAAAACTGATTGCGCTATTTGCATAAAATTTTGTGTAAAAAGTATGACAAAAAGCTTGCTACTTATTATCAGCGTGTCGAAAAAATCCTGATAAAAATTCATTGAATGGAAAAAATGCTTATTTTGCTATTTTGATAAAAAAATTCTTTCGTAGCATGAAATTGTTTGATACGTTTTTTGTGTCAACCCGTGTTTCACAACCCCAAAACTTCGAAGCTAAAATATCTTTGCATATTTGAACTTACGGAATCAATATCTTCAAAGGGGTTTAATTTGTTTTTGGTTAAAACTATGATTTCGTTTCCCGAAACTTGGCTGAACACAATAAAAACACCGCAAGCATAATTATTCCTATCTTCGGAGCTCGGAACAAAAACTGTACACATCTCGTCATGTAGATTCTGCAGTACTATTAGTTATACACTATTCAAAATCGCAGCTCGTTCATTTATTTTGAAAACAGCGCTTTGGACAAATCATTTGAACGGACTTCATTTTAAACATAGGCGTTTAAATTGAACGGTGCTTATACAAAACAGTCCCATACAAAACATTCCAAAAAATCATGTAATATAGGAAAAAACAGTCCAATACATAACAGTCCGGTTTAAGGTCGCCGGTGGGCACGCACCGCCGCGATAACCAGCTATAAATTTCGTATTAAGTCCTAACCTCTGTTGGCAAGCTCGCAACACGTGGGCGCGACTGCGGCGGTCACTATTTTGTGCTTCATGTTTGTTGAACAAAGGAAAATTATCGGCCTACCGGCTTGTTAAAACAATTATTATTGGGACTGTCTTTCGGACTGTTTTATCGTTCATTTTCATACTTTTTCGGACTGTTTTGTATGGGACTGTTTTATGCAGACACGAAGTTAAACACGTGTTAAAACATAACCAAAATTCAGCTCAGATTTAACGTTGAATTTCTTCAACATTTTTTGTTACTTCGTTTTCATTTTACTTCTACCATGCAATTTCTGCGTCCTCGCAGTTCATCGATAACTGAGCACCTGAGACTAATCGTTTTCACTGTGTTCATTTTCCCTCCAAGAAAAATGTTGAACAACCAAATGATCAAATAGAATGAAAGAATTTTAGAGTTTTCGTAGATAAAATATGAAAGTTAAAACTAATTCGGATCGTTGGCACATAATTTACGTGTCGTGAAGTACAGTGCTGATTTAAATTATCCGGACAAAATGAACAAAACTTGAATTTTCAAACGCGTTTTTTTTTCAAATTGGGTTAAAATGAGACAACAAGTGAAGAGAACAAAAGTTGCTTAGAATTTCCTCAGGATTAATATGGTGTAATGTTTTCTCCGAAACTCTCAACCAAAATTTTACCCCAAAAATGGGTCATTTTGGCTTTTTTCAATTAATCAAGAATTACGCGGAAACAACTTTGTTAATTGATAAGAACATTATATCACAAGAAGCCTTTCACACAGCCCAACAAAGTTTAAGAAGGGTTAAATCTCCAAAACTTTGCGCAAATTGTTTAAAGTTTGTTTTTGAACAGAAGTTCTGGGTTTTATATAGTAAAAATTACATTTATTGACTATCAAGTAAAATCATTTTTCTTTAATTCTAGTTGTTTTTGGAGATTTAACCCTTCTTAAACTTTGTTGGGCTGTGTAAAAGGCTTCTTGTGATATAATGTTCTTATCAATTAACAAAGAAGTTTCAGCGTAATTTTTGATCAATTGAAAAAAGCCCAAAAATGACCCATTTTTGGGGTAAAATTTTGGTTGAGTTTCGGAGAAAACATAACACCATATTAATCCTGAGGAAATTCTAAGCAACTTTTGTTCTCTTCATTTTTTGTCTCATTTTAACCCAATTTGAAAAAAAAACGCGTTTGAAAATTCAAGTTTTGTTCGTTTTGTCCGGTCTACCATTAATTTCCAATTTTTGTGCTTTGCTAAAACCATAAGGAAAAAGGTGTTGTAAATAGTTATGATAAAAATCACGTTAACAAAGCCTTTTGGAAAGTTTGAAAAACAAACTCAGAAAACAGATTAAGTTTTTGAAAGGGAATCTTGCAAAAAAGGAACGAAATGAGACCAAGTTCCGGAAATTGTACAGCAAAACTGAAGTAGAGAGAAGCAGCGGTGTCAGAAATCACACATGACTGACAGCTACATTGCAGCTGTTTAAAAATTCAAGATTTCAACAATAAATTTCACAATTCAATCATTAAGTGCTCACAAATAAAACGATTAAAATCAAAATCAAAGGCACAATAAATGCTAGCATCTAACTTATATAACTATAATCATTATTTGAAAAAAAATATCATTTTACATATTGCATTTCAGAAAAAAACAGCAAGAAAAGTGTTACTGAACATGGGTAGACAAAGAGCGATTTAGAAAAAAAACATCATCAAATTGACCAGCAGAACAAATTACATCACCCGAAAGATGAGTCTGTTTCATGAAACTTTGAACGGAGTTCAAGGATAAGGCGTGATGAAGAGCACTTACTCGAACTTCAGCTTCAAATCGACTGTAAGGTGATCGATTTCGAGTTCAATATAGAATTAGATCCTCTGCGAAGCAATAGTATGATTCATTTTCGTTCTGACTTTCGATGAAATTCCGGAATATCTATGCTCGGGATGTTTTTTTGTTAAGTCAATTTTCGACTTTTTAACTAAACATTTTTGAATGAGTTTTTTATACTATCTAAAATTTATTGTTGCCCTGAGCTCACACTTTAAAAAAATTATTTACCTCTGATAAACTCATCAAAATTTACAGAGAGTTTTGAAAATTGCAAATTTGGGATAAGTAACGCGCGACATATTGCGTCCTTATAACACGCGTAAGCGTCGAATTAAAGCGCTCCAATGAATAACTAAAATCATTATTTCGAAAAAAGCTAATATAAAATTTCAGTCAATTTTTGACTTTTTAATTACGCGTTTGTGAAGTATCTTTGTAAACTATCTGAAAGATATTGTTGCCCTGAGCTCAAATTTTAAAAAATATATATATACCTCTGATAATTTCAGATGGTTTTGAGAGAGGGTTTTGAAAATGGCTAATTTGGAATTATTAACGAGCGATATATTGCGTCCTTATAACAGGCGCAAGCGGCAAAATAAAGCAATCCGAAATAAATTAAGGTCAGCAATTTAGTCCTATTAAAACAATACGAGACGCTTAACACACTTTTTGTGTTTTACATCGCGTTTGGGGGATCAAATGAAGAAAAAAAAGAAAAAAACAACTTGACTCTTTTTTTCAATTAGTTCGTCAATGATTCAAACAAAAAATTTTTAAATTGGCCTTGAAGTGCAGCCGGAACATTCAGGGCGTCGCCATGATATAAGTGCAGTCTTGTAATTTGATATTTTCATTTTACAATTCTGAGCTCGAAAAGACACAATTGGTCTATTTTGGTTTTTATTGAGAGCATTGAAGTTACATGAAAAATAAACATTTAACTTTCACAGCCTGTCCCTACAAAACTAAAAAAAAATTGACTATAATCAATTAAAACTGTATTTTAATTTTCTTCTAAGCAAAAAATCTTATTTAAATCGATTCTAAGCAATTGATTTTTAAAAAATGGTAACACTTGTTGAAATATCATCCATTTTTTTTAAAATTGATAATCTTTTTTTTCGAATTTTTTTGCGGTCTATTACGAATACCAAGTATCGTTCGTGTTTTTTTTTTAAATAACAATGTCATGAACTAAACTTTTTTAAGCTCTCAAAAAACATGAAAACATTGAAAAATTGGGACACTAAAAATGCTGAAAAATACAACACTATGATATGCATGACAATTTCATTCGTTTTAATGTTGGGATTGAATTAGTTTATCTAGTCGCTGCGCGGGACCATAGACTCTTCAATCGTGCCAGATCAGACCACAACAGGACGGTGAAGTCATCTCTCGGAAAATATATTTGAGACAGTAAAGACGACAGTAAAATTGTTGGATAAAAATTCTAAATTACTGATGGGATCAAGTAAAAGTCTCCAGTGGTGAGTTTATGCAAGTAAGAGAAATCAAAAAAGAAGTTTGTGAAAACCATTTTCCATGTTTTGTGACCACCAAAAACGCGATGAAAACACATGATTAGAAGAATTCAGAGATTTGGATGAGTTTTAAACCTAAATTTCTAAATCATTAATCAACAACATTGATTTTGATTTGACATCTGCGCTGCCATTTTTACACAAGCCAGTTAGCGAGTGTTGAATTATTTCACCGAGTCCTCTTCTTATTATTTCACCGAGCATACTCTCTGAATAAGAATTTATAAAAAACCAAGTAAAACAGGTAATACCCATGATTGCGTCGACAAATCCCGTGTTTTCCGCAAACAGAGCATCATCATTTCAGACAATATTTGAAGTTTTTTTTTGTGTTTTTTTTAAACATTTTACGTGCGAACTTACGGGGAAAAAGTCTAGTACCCGGTTGCAACACCCTTGATAACCCCAAGGGTAAATAACAATTGAATTTCTGTTTCTATTAAAATACTTGCACATATTTAGTGAAATTAAAATTTTACTGCCTATTTTGACTGCTTATTTTTTGACGTGTGATCAAAAAAATTGAGTTTTCTAAATTCCTCGTTTATTGGTCTTATATTTTAGTCTTCGCTTTCATCTGATTTTCTCACCGCCGAACATAGACATCTTGAAGCTTTTTGAATAAAAAATTACTGTTGTGAATAACTATTCCGCTTTACGTTCAGTAACACTTAAGCAACCACCTGATTAATTTCGTCTGTTTTCTGCATAATTGCTTACTCATTAAATCCTGTGGGATCCATTTTGTCACTTATTTCTTCAGTCTTTTTCAGTTGCGATTCCAAACAACAGTTTGATGTCTCCTACTCTTTTTTCACGTGACTCCTTTGCCGCATCTGTGAACGAAAACGCCTCCTGTATAAGCCTTCGTTTCCTTTCTTGAATCTCTAAAATCTTGTCTTCAATTGTCTCAGTGCAGATAAGCTTGTATATAGTCACTTCTTTATCCTGCCCTAGTCTGTGACACCTGTCAAAGCATTGGTCCTCCACATATGGATTCCATGCCGGGTCCATTAGAAACAAGTTCGAAGCGCACGTCAGGTTGAGACCCAAATTACCCGCTCGAAGCGACAGCAAAAGTACTGTAGTATTGGGATCAGTTTTGAAACAGTTTAAAACCTGATCACGCTTTTTCGCAGACAAGGTCCCGTCGAACCTTGTGAACTTAAATCCAGACTCTTTCAGGGGTTTCTCAATCAAGGACAGAAACGCAGTGAACTGCGACACCACTATACTTTTGGTGGTCGGGTTTCGCTCACGCACGTCATTCAATGTATTAACTAACGCGTCAACTTTCGAACTGGAATGCCATTCATCATCCGAGTTAATTCCTCCTGTTTGAGCAAGCGAGACTTCACGCGGCGCCTCTATTAACTCATTTTTGTTAACTAGCGTTCTACACAAGGGACAATTTCCTGTAGATCCTACATGTGTTGTTTGAAGAACCTTTTCAATACACTTTCTGCAGAACACGTGAGCACATTTTGTTATCACGGGGCTAACGAGAGAATCCAAACACACACAACACTCTTCGTCCGATCCTGAACTTATGATCAGTTTCAGGGTTTCGATTAATTTTACTCGTGTTTCGTCGTCGCAAGTTGAACTAATAGCCTCATTGGCTAGATCGAACGCCTTCTTACAAAGAGATGGATGACACACAAGCTGTCTTAGTCTAGTTATAATTGCCATTATATGTGCGTAATGGGTCAATTGACGCCCTTCTCTAAAATATGATCCAACTATCACCCTGCCTGAGCTTTCCATAGACTGATACAAATTCTTCTCTTCAGTCGATAATTTAACTTTCAAGAGTTTTACTGTCTTTTTTGGTAGATTTACAATTGGCTGGTCATCTATACACATAGTTTTAGTTCTTCTTAGAACCAGTGTCATTAGCAAACTCTTGAAACTCTTCACTATTAAGTCCGACCCATTCAAAACAGGTCTTTCGATGTGTTGCTTCCACAACCATTGACCGTTACTTGGATTTTCAAAGGGTTCCAAGCGTAGAAAACGCATTAAAGCCCACAACTCCGATAAAGAATTTTGAATGGGCGTTCCTGATAAAATCCAACGCCTTTTCGCTTCAATCGAAAACAAAGCTTGACTCATTTTAGTTTTCGGATTTCGTATTAAATGTCCTTCGTCCAGAACAATTCGGAGAAACTCGCAGTCCAATAAAGAATTTGTTTTATTTTGCTTTCCTTTCTCATCGGATTGTCCACCACTTTTCACGATTTTGAAATCAGAAGCGAGCAATGTGTACGTCGAAATTACTATATCATGGCTCATAATGTATTCTAAAGCGTAGTTGAAACGATCTGGTCCATAATAAAGAAAAATCGACAAACCCCAATTTGATTTCACATGTGTCTCGAATTGTTCGAGCCAGTTCGAAAGCAACGAAACTGTACAAACGAGCAAAGTACTTTTAGGAGATCCCTTGCTTAAATCACAGTCAAAAGGCAAAGCGTAACACTTAAACCTACTGAAGACATCAAACGACTCGGGGTCCAAGCCAAAATCATCGTCAACTTTTAGTGTTTTGTTGTTAACTCGCTTCCGTTTTGTTTTATATGAAGCCGAGCTGACTATTTTATCTATACTTTTCGATGAGCACGGTTGCATAACTTGGATTTCATTTTCAGTAACTTTAGGTTTTTTTGCTTGTAGCTCAACTGATAAATCCGAATCAGCAAAGGACGCTATAGGGCAAACAGCGCTTGACTCCTCGTCCGAATCAGAGAGAAGCTCGATTACCTCTCGTTTCAATTTTTCGTCGTTGCTACTGTCAATACTTCTAACTACACTGACACAGTCGTCAGAAAACTCACCGCCAATATCATTTCTTGTTTTATATTCATCTTCGGATGAAGATAACAGCTTACTAATCGCTTTTAGCTTAGCTGCTCTACCCTGAACTTTCCGTGCAGCTGGTTTTTTCACACTTATCAATCTTTCTGCAGTTTTTTTCGTACCTTTTAAGTGATCGGCGCCTTTTTTCACACTTACAACATGGTCTGTTTGAGACGGACTTTTTGCTTCAGCAATCGTCGATAAACTAGAAGCATTTTTAACAATTTGCTTTTTTCGCTTAGCTGCTCTGATTTTTGGAGATCTCGCAGAGATTGAAATTATTTCTAATTTTGCTGGTTTTTCGTAATCTGAACAATCATCTGAACTTAAGGTTACATGAGACACGCTCGAGTTTCTCGATGTTGTGCTCTCCGAATCTGAAACAATTTCTTTTTCCTTGTTAGCCAAAACATCCCCATTGTTCTGTACTCGTCTCGCCAGTTTTCTTTTGGGTCGACCATTTTCTAATGATTTAGCGGTGATAGCTTTTTTTGAACTTCGTATGTTTTTATTCACAGCAGAGTCGGCAACTATTTTTTTACTCCGTGAACTAGTAGTTTGGACTTCGTTAGCCCTATTAGTAAGAATGAGGGCAATAACCTCTAAACTTTTACCCAATCCCATTTCGTCTGCTAGAAATCCTCCACAAAGGGGCGCCGGCGCATGTTGTTGTTTAACTTCAGTCACTACATTTTTGTAGCCCGTTTTCTTTTCACTCTTCCAAAATGGAGGCAGTTCTTTGTTGTTTTCTCTGTCACACATCCACGAAAGAGCCTGTAATTGGTGGGGATACAACTTTGTCGAAATTCCATCACTGACTTTGACCTATCACAAACAAAACCAACAGATATGAAAGCAATCGAAAAGTCAAACAGGAAAAAACAAGAAATACAACCGCTTTTTAAAATTCTATTTGATTTACACAGAACCAAGCACAAACCGTATTTTTTTTTAATCTGAGACCTTTTTCAAGAAAAAGAGTTCCATTTGAGAAGAACTGATCAACAGAAAATTTGTTTATAGCATTGGAAAGCTAACAGCATTGATACGAATCAATTATTTGAGCGAAAAAAAACAATACGTACCGATAACGAAGTCTTTCGCAACATAAAGTTGCATCATCGAGAATAATCTTTCTTCTGAAACTACGGTAACACGAAACACGTCTGGATACATGTTGTAGTCCCTGACTAGCTTGTTTCTATTCATTTCATTAGTTGTGTTTGACGTATTTTATGCTGTTTTTACAAGTGGAAATTGTTACCACATTTTCAGAAGAATGATTATTCATGATGATGCAACTTAATGCTGCGAAAGCGAATAATATAGGTAAGCATTGATTTTATTGCATGGTTGCTTGCACTGGAAACCCTACCATATAAAAAATTTGGACCTACCTGACAATGTTCACCCCTTTGCATCTACTTAGTCTGAGATATCTTTGTGTATCATTTATGAATTTCAGAACTTTTTGTAGCCCTAATCAGTTAAAGTTAAGGTTGAGATGTTTTTCATATCATAAAACTGTTCTTCAACTTCACAAAAAAGGCTGCTAAAGTTTGAAACAGTTGTAAATGCTAATTAGATCTAAATTTGTTATTAGTCAATTTCCACCATTATACCACTTTTGTCACTATTAGACAGCAGAATTCGCTCCCCTTTATTTGGTAAAAAAAAGTAAAACAAAAAAGCGAAGCTTCATATCACTTGCGAACAATTACGAACATAAAATATCAAGCTGGCCGATAGAAAAAATAAACGAAAATCACTGAATAAAAACATGGCCAACAGACAGTTGGAAAAAAGCCAATGAACGAAGAAAAGTGACTCGTTTTTGAAAAAATTTCAACTGACGAATTTCTAAGACAAAGATGAATTTCAAGAAAAAGCTCAAGAATTTTCAAGAAAAATTTATGATTTGCACTTTTTTGATACAATTAACTCAATTTGAGAAAGCTGGATTAATATGTCAAATCTATATTTTGGTGGGAAACCCGAAAATTAAATCTATATTATGCTGGGAAATCCGAAAATTAAATTCCACTTTCGAAATTGATCACGTTTTTGGCGACCTTAACATTTATGCTGTACGATGGTGGAGTTTACCTTTCTTTTAAACAGAGGGTAGATTGTGCAACAAGAAAAAATACAACCAAAAAAAACTTCGAATAGCAGGGGAACTTTAAATACAGGCATGCACAAACAATGTCCGAAGTCAGCGACATAGAACGTCCGACAGAAATCTTACACGTTCTAAGAAAAATTGCTAACGGCAAAAAGACCCGATTAAAGGACGTTCAAGTGTAAAAAGATTCGCAATATTTTACAAGCCTTAACGCCCCAAAAAACATTACACGTTCTGAATAACAAAAACTTAAATTCAGTTAAGTACATTTAAACATAAACTGGATCAGTTACCGCCAACGACTGCACAAGCAATGTGCCAAAAAAACAATAACTAAAAATTGAGCCCCATTATATTACGTTGAAGCCTATATTTTACGAATACAAAAATACTAGCAAGCCCGTCTCTAAGTGATTAATCAGCTCGCAAAAACTTGAATGTTGTTCAGATCAAGCTATTGAATCAATGAAACTTTAAAACAAATCAAGTTATTTCATGAATCAAATCGGAGGGCGCAAAGTTAGAATTTTTTTTAAGCAAGCTACTCCAGATATGAAATTTTGAAATATTTCAAAGTCATATCATGGAGCGAACCAGTTTCTGTTAGTTTTCAAGCAAACTACTCATTGGATGAAACTTTTTTACGAGTATTTCATAAAACGAATCAGATGGCAAAAAAATAAGTTTTTCTAAGCATGCTATTAGTTATGCAACTTTTAAATAGTCCATGTTATTTTATGTTCTTTAAAGTTCGCGAAAAAACTTCTAAGCAAGCTATTAAGCTATGAAACTTTGAAATATTTCAAGTTATTTCGTGGACCGAAGCGGTTCGCGAAGAAATCAAATTATTCTAAGCAAGCTTTTAAAGCTAAAAAAGATTTCGAGATTATTTAATGAAGCTAATCGGTTTGCAAAAAATTAGTTCTTCTTCAAGCTATTCAACATATGAACAATTTCAAGTTATTTCATAGAATGAATCAGTTCGCGAAAAATTTAAATTTTCAAAGGAAATTATTCAAGCTACAAGCGACATATTCAAGTTATTAAGTAGACCAAACTGATTCGGTAAAGTTTTAATTTTTCGAAGCAAGCTCTTCAAGTAGAGAAACTTGGAATTATTTGAAGTTACTTCATAGATCGATAGACTGAATCAGCTAGCGAAAATTTAAAGTTTTTCTTAGCAAGCTATCCAAGCTATGAATGTTTGAAATATGTCAAATTGTTTCATAGAGCAATTCGACTGGCGAGAAGTTTCAGTATTTCTAAGCAAGCTACTGAGGCGATGAAAGTTTGAGTTATTTCAAGTTTTCACAGAGCGAATCGATTGATGAAGAGTGAATGTTTTTCTAAGCAAGGTTTGCAAAAAGCTAGTTTTTCTAGGAAAAGGTTGCTGTTTTTAGTTGGTTTATTTCAGAAAGAAATCAATCTGAAAAAGCAAAAATTTGGGGAAAAATGGACAAAATCTGTCTAGCCTGAATTGAGTTCATCTTGGCTGACTCTGAATTGAGTTCATCTAGGCTGACGAATTGAATTTTTGTAAAAAAAAATAGGTCTTGAATATTCCAGACTTGGGAAACTTTGAAACTTCTACAATATTCTTGGCCTTCTCTTAAACGTTAAGCCTAAAGAATTTATCTAACGTTGCATTCGACAAAGCTATAACATTGCGTTCCGTTAAGCATTCCGTTCATAACGCATTCCGACTTTTTGCAAAGCTCCATTTCGCAAGCCCAAGCAAATTGTTTAAAAAAATCGCTGATTGTAGGATTCAAGCCGCCTTAGGACATCTAAAATACGCGTCAATTGCATGCAACTTATCAAATGAACATAAATACTTATTTTGACACACTAAAATTAAATACAATTACCAATGAATAAGCTCTAATAAATTGGATAAAATACTTGCTATACAATCTATCCTTTTTGTGGTAATGATGCCATATCTGAAAAACCTACTGACAAACTAGAGCAATGTTGTGCAGTTACCACAAAATAGTCCAAGCAGCCACATAAGGAAAAAAGACGGCTCCTATACAGGCTGGCTCAATTGTGAAAATTTGAGTCGTAAGAAATTAATATGACCGATGAGCTAGCCTCAATTCAATTGGGAACGATTTTTTATGCATGATAATTTGCCACGCATAAATAATTCACGTTACGCTTTCAGCAGTATGAATAAAACCTTCAAAGCGCGCGAAATTAGTCCAGAGTATGGCCAAATTGGCAACTTTCAAACTCCCAAAAGTCTGCAAAAATGATTGGAGGAAAAATATCTTTTACATTTGATTTGAAGTAGTAGATATCTTCAATGGGGTTTAAAAAATTTTGTTAAAAACTATTATATCGATCGCCGAAAATTGACTAAATAAAAAAACAACCCAGAGCATAAATACTCTTTTTTCTTCGAAAGTCGGAACAACAAGACTGCTCGTATACAATGCATAGCCCTGATTGTTTCGATTGCTCCCGAATCATTATCGAATAATTTTAGGGAAAAGAAAATAATGAAAAACTATAAATCTTGGACAATATCAAAGATCAATACTGAAAATTTAAGTCGCATGAAATTAATACGACCGATTAGCTAGCCTCAATTCCATTTGGAACGATTTTTTTGAGCGGGATAATTTGCCACGCATAAATAATTCGCGTTACGCTTCCAGCAGTATGAATAAAATCTTCAAAGCGCGCATAAATTAGTCCAAAGCATGGCCAAATTGGCAATTTTCAAACTCCCATAACTTTGCAAAAAATGATTGCAAGTAAATTACTTTTAAATTTGATTTCGCGTAGTCGATATCTTCAATGGGGTACAAAATTAAAAAAAAATATTTCGATCGCCGAAAATTGACTAAATAAAAAAACCACCTCTAGCATAATTATTCCGTTTTCTTCGAAAGTTGGAATAGTAAAATAAATACATATCCGACAAGCAATTGCAAAAGAATTCACCAACTCGTGAAAAAACAAGGCTAAATGTTTCCTAACTTTCCAAATTTAACGGTTCACAGAAAAAATGCATCACGAAGCTTTTTAAATTCAAGAACTTTTAAAATCGACTTTTAAGGTGCTCCATTATTTCCTTCTAATTGAAGAGCTATATTTTTGCCTTTTTTTTAAAACATCAAAAAAAATCCCCAAAGATACCCAGAGGGATAGCTGCACATCGCAAACAAAATCAAAAAAGACAAAAAGGAACTTAAAAATAAAAAGTATGATTCAACAGAATTGCCCTTTACGAGATTCGAACTCCGACCTCCTAATTCAACTGGCAGCTAATTTCTAATTTGATGGGGGCGAGTTGGATTGGGAAAAATTAACTCGTGTTATAAGACAAACCTTTGAATGTAAAATGAAAAAATGAAGCGAGCACAAAATGAGCCATTTTCTGGACAAGAGTGAGGGTCTGACCTCTCGAAGACATGCTAAACTACGGTCATCTCACCAGATAAAAAAAATCAGTTTTACTGTATAACCATTGAATTTAGCAAAATCCATAGTTAATTCCAAATTGTTGGCAATATCATTTTCAGTCAACGAATCTGAACGAAGTTAATCAATCTGAAACTGCTCATTTTGACGTCGCTTTTCAGTTTATCACTAATTTCCATACGTAAAAACCATTTTCAATTAATTAAATAACCTTAAAAGTTAGAGGTTTTGACCAATTGAAATTCTCAAGCTCACCTATATTGCCAACAATTGAGCATTAACTATATATGTATACAGTGCTGATTTAAATTAACCGGACAAAACGCATTAAACTTGAAATTTAAAACGCATTTTTCTCAAATTGAGTTTAGTTTACGTGAAAACTTATGAGGACAAAACTTGCTTAAATTTTTAGCAGATTTAATATGGTGTAATTTGTTCTGCGAAATTCGGGCCCGAAATTTTACCCCAAAAATGGGTCATTTTGGCTTTTTTTAGTTAATCAAAAATTACGCCGAAAATACCCATTTGATCACAGACATAATTATATCAAAGTGAGCCCCTTACGTAGCCCAATAAACTTTATGAAGGGTATTTTCTCCAAAATATTGTATAAATTAATTCAATTTTATTTGATAGACAAAAAAAGGTCATTTTACTATATAAAATACCAACTTTTTATTTAAAAACAATTTTTAAACAATTTGCATTTTTTTTGAAGAAAATAACCTTCATAAAGTTTGTTGGGCTACGTAAGGGGCTCACTTTGATATAATTATGTCTGTGATCAAATGGGTATTTTCGGCGTAATTTTTGATTAACTAAAAAAGAGCCAAAATGACCCATTTTTGGGGTAAAATTTCGGGCCCGAATTTCGCAGAACAAATTACACCATATTAAATCTGCTAAAGTTTTAAGCAAGTTTTGTCCTCATAAGTTTTCACCTAAACTCAACCCAATTTGAGAAAAATGCGTTTTAATTTTCAAGTTTAACGCGTTTTGTCCGGTTAATTTAAATCAGCACTGTACAATAAGCAACGTTGAGACGAAAAACAAACCCCATAAAATTAATTCTGGTAAAATTATAAAATTTCCATAAAATTATTTAAATATTGCCTTCGTAGCTTTCTTTTTGCGTCAAATAACTCACGTTGATAAAAACACGTTTGAGACGTTATCTGAACAAGGAAACTGAGCACTGAATCAATAGCTACAAAGAAGTGCAATTAGAAATTACCTTGTTGAAGCCCTTGCCCAGCTTCTTTGCAACTCCTTCGAATACCTTCTCAAGTTCTCCTTTCAGTTTCTTCTGCTTCACTACCTGCTCCTCTGCTGAGACATTCATGGGCACATACCCACTTCCGCCTCCTTGCCCATTTCTTCCACGATTAACTGCAAAAAATCAAATCTTGTTTTTGTTTTAAAATATTTTTACCTGAAACTTAACCTCAAAAACTTACAAAACATTGCAAACGGTGCATAACATATTCCCAAATATGGTCACTTTGGGTTTCGGCAGAGCTCAGAACAATCAAAATGGCTGAATGCTGAAAGACAATTCATTCAGCCCGTCAAAAAACTCCCCTGCACGCCAATGTTTACACTAATATGTTCTGATTACCTTAATTCAATCATACCAAATATTTCAATATTGAATCCAGAAAAATCCCTATGAGTAATTCGAGGGTGGGGATGAAAAACAGCCCGAATAATTATACAATTATACAAATGTCAACTGCTAGATACGAGTGTGATAGAGAGGTCCCAAATTACATTAATATTAGGCGAATACCGAAAAAACTAATTCAAAATGCACCGGTCGGTCGCTTCTAAACAGGGTTGCAAAAAAAACACATTTCGAGTAACAAAAAACAACGAAATGAAATTATATGCAGTTTGTGCGCCGCACTTTTCCCAGTTGAGTGCTCTTTTGCTTTCATTTTCAGTAGGATCGACTCCAAAAAAGTCGGAGTTGAGAAAACGCAGCAAATCAAGAACCCAGAATGGAAGAATTTTACAGTTTCTCGGCTTTTTCGAGCCATTCGCGTCGTTCGATACCTCGTTCACGAAATCCATCGAGGAGATTTTTCCACGAATACAGTTAGTACAGTTAGTCAAAGCACACAAGAAATTCAGCCGATCAGGGGAAGTTGCTTCAAACACAAAATTATTCAGTGTTTTAAATACTGAGTTAAACGTGTTTTAAACATGTTTTTAACAAGACATGTTTGAAACGGTGTCCCACTCTTTAACCCTACGATATTTAACCGCCTATGTTTACACCCCCTATATTATAACCCCGTAACATGATAACCCCACAACAAAATCCCCTTTTAATGACGATAATTTGTGTCAAATTAAGTACTTTTTATAAGTACAGGAGTAGTCCAATTAAGTTTACTAATTGAGGCCTGAAAAGCTAGTCTTAATTCACTTGATGCCTCTAGCATCTCAAAAGTAATTGCATTTCGATTAGTTAGAGAAATAATCCCTCACTCTCGCGTTTAAAACAGAGATAACCTACATGGTGCTAATTGAAGGCAACAAAAGACGTTTGTGAGTTTTATAAAAAAATCATACTGCCTTCTTCTTTAACCATTATTATACCACACTATCAGACCAGATATAATGTTTGAAGCGTCATTCCATTTTAATTTATCTTCGAAAGACAAACAAATGCTAGTGGTATCAGTCCACGAGTATTACCTCAAACGCAAAAACATTTTACCACGTTCTGAACTTTTTACTACGAAATGAAGCAATTAGTGTCAAAAATTAAGACAACGCTTTCTCTTTACCTCCAGGTATGTTCCAGCCAAAATTCTTCCCGTTCAATTTTCTGGTCAACTCCACATTTAAACTCTGGTGTCCATATAAAGTAAGATCCAAAGGGTGTGCAAACGAGCCACAAACCACAATCACGCCTTCCAAATGAAGCCCCCCGTTGTCTAGGTATGGCGCCAAAATCTCCGCCAACTCTCTTCTTAGATGTCCGAACTGGATTCCAGAGCACATCGCTTTAATCGCATTCGGGTCGTAACTATTACCAGGGTCTCTTTCAAACCTAACCTTCATTTTTGGCGTCACGTGAATTGTTCTGTAATGACTGATACCCACCACAGAGGTACGTATTGTTCCCAATTTGTTTGTGGAGTCACGGCGGCGAATAAACCTGCTTAAGAAATCATAGAAGTACAGCTGCGCAGTACCATCCAGCCCAATGTCGACATCCGAATCAGGGTTGTAATCCGAATCGTAACTTGAATCCGAGTCATAATTGAACGGGTTGAACATCATCGCATGCATATCTTCAGCATTCAATACAAATATACGCAAGGTTTAAACACAAAAACGAAGTTGCACTTCGCGTACACAAGCAAAAATATGACCGATAACGCTTGAGGGAAAAACTTAATGAGTAAACATTTGAGTCTACATAATGTCTTAAAAACGCACGCCAATTATGAGTCTACATAATTGCTAAGTGACGCAAGCCAATTATGACGCATTAGCAGTACCAGTCATTTTGAAAATAGAAATTTACCAACTAACATGCCTCAATTTATCGAGCGGACGCAACAATTTAAATAGTATACGAAAAAAAATCAGCAAAACCATCGGACCCTACCCAGGTTCGAAACCTCTTATTCTATCGCGGGTGTCCTTCCCTACCTCTAAGCTACAGATCCATGATACCTGGAAGGTAAACTGCTATTTGTAATATAATGGACTGTGTTAATATCCTTAGCGTTGGCTGTACTTAATAGCTGATTATTGATCTTATGCACATACTGCAATAAAAGAACACTTTCAAAATTAACACTAATATTTGCTACTTAGATTAAAAAAAAAGAGTTCATACTATCACACAAGCTTTGCTTGTGTAATCAATGCATGAAAGTTGAGCGTAAACTAAATATCAGCGACACAATTTCTCATAAAACTACACTTATGCTTAACTCTCATGGGTAATCGTTCAAACCCTATAACTGATCAAAGGCCGAGTTAACAGGATTGATTTAATCGAACACTTATATATGATGTTATAAATATAATATAAATTGTCGATTATATATAAAGGTCGATAACTCAATAACTAACGGAAAAAGCAAACTGTTAAAAAACAGGAGCCAGGGACATCTACGTTTGCTTTGCAGAAGGATTCCAAAAGATTGTAAAAACTAATATATGTTGACAAAAAGTACTTACTTGAATTATAATTTTTGGCCACCAAAAGTAAAACAAGGAGCTTAAACTGTTATGAGACGCCACATTCCTTGAATTTTAAAGTTTTTGACAACTTGTTTAAACAGGATTTGCTTTTTAGCGATACTACTATAAGCCTATTTCATTACAATTTTAGCCAACCAAAATAAACAGGACGCTTAAACTGTTGTAAGGCGCCAAGAGTGTTGAACTTGAACGTTTTTGTCAATTTATTTCAACCAGGGTTGGAAAATTGTATGTTATTTTTGAAAATAACAAGTTAACAATTGAAAACAACATGTCATTTATGTTAAATGGTTCAACACATTAAGAAGCATTTAGTTTCTTGAAGATAAATGCCAGTTTCCCAGCTTTCTCGCCACCAAGTTGGGCTATGAATTTCCAATACGTGAAAAAATCGTTGAAGAATTTCATAATAAACCAAATATCTTCAACTGAAAAATTTAGCATTCAAAAAAGTCATATCATCCCCCCACCCAAACACACAGGGGAATGATATTTAATCTGAAAAACAGTTATATGCGGAGTGTTTTTCCCAGAAATATCCACATTTCTACGAAATAGCTAGTATCACTGTTAGAAACTATAAATAACATTGTATGTTGAACTGAATGTTAAATAACTATGTTACATTTTCCAATCCTGATTTCAACAGATTTTCATTTTAATGATACTATTACAAACCCATTTCAAAAATTTTCTGAGCATTTTCATTTAAGGAGATACTTACTGATAGTAGTGAAAGCAGAAACGACTGCAAAAATGATAAATATTTCAAGAACAAAAATTTAAACTTAGACAGAATCAGAAGGATCCGCTATCAACTCAATCCGCAAAGTAGGAAATCATTTAACTTAAGATAATTTGAAAGCACACTCGTAATTTTTAGTTGCACTTTTATAGATCAAGTTTAGTAGATAGGATATTGCTTTAAAATTAGATTGATATTTTTAGCTAACCAAAGCATGCAAATATTTCAAAAAAGTGCATGTTGGCCCACTAATGTATGCATTCATTTCAGTTTAAAAAATTTGTTAAAAACAAAACAAGATATAAAATCTAACGAGCTACTTAATGTCGGAAGTCAGCAACTTTCCTTAGAACTCAGCAAACTAAGCAAACTTGAGCAAACTGGATCAATAACTTAATTTATATTCCATTCGGAAATTAAAAAAACATCCATTTTTGAATCGATTTTTTTTTCATTTGCATTTCCGTTTCTGGGGAATGTAATTTGCCTTCAGTTCAATAAATAGTTTTGACGAGCACTTAGGAAATCAAGTCACCCGCAAAAAATATGAGTTATACACTTTTATGACTTTTTATACTTCAATTAAATTACTGTTTCAACTAAATTTCAACTTAAATTACTGTTTTGATTTCTTCGTTCATTGATCCCCAATAGCGTTACATTAAAAATCAGGGCTATCCTCCCGCCTGCCGATTTGAAATCGCTCAAATAAAAAAACGAAAAAAAGCCTCAAACCACTATCGTTGTTTTTTGAAAAACATTTTTTCGACACTGATATGAAATAAATTTCAGTCGGTCAATTGATAGCGTGTTATATTCATATCAACCATCTGCCTTAATTTGATTACGCCGTTTTATGCGTTTCGTCATTTTTGCTTGGGGTATAGCTCAAGGTGGCAGGACAATCTACCCTATTCCAAACTACCCTATACCATTCTACCCTATGCCATTATACCCTACATACCAATCTACCCTATACCAATCTACCCTATACTAATCTACCCTATACTAATCTGCCCTATATACCATAATGAGGTATCATAATGTAATCTTTCAAAGTCCTATTTTAACCTATTTGTATTCTCTCGCGCAATTAAGTCATTCCTAACTCAGTTTATTTTAACAATTTTGGGAGGTAATAGAGGCCAATACCAAAAGAATTTTACCTTCTCCCTGACCCCGCCCCCCAGTACCGCCTTGGCCTGGTACTGGGGGGTCTACCCCTCCTTTTGTGATCAACTAGTCAAACCCTCAGTAATTTTCGAATTTCATTCAAAATTTGACTTCTTGGTGATTTGATCTTTCAAGCTTTTGAGTTTCAAACACAGGCATTATCCGCTACGCTATGTCGACTTGATTTGATATGACTTTTGTTTGTTTAAGAAATAGCCGCAACATTGGATTAAAATTTCTGTTCGTTCATGCTTTGAACTCATTTCCATTTTGAACGCGCAAGTTTTACGTTGCTTTGATATTTTGTTCACGTGCGTCAATTATTCTTTGATCATAATTAATGGTTCTTTGATTTGTTCGGAAATATACTGTTTCGGATTCTTCAAGAGGATGGGGTAAGTTTCAATTGCTTTAATTATAGGGTAGAATGGTATAGGGTAGATTGGTATAGGGTAGATTGGTATGTAGGATAGAATAGTATAGGGTAGATTAGCATAGGGTAGATTGGAATAGGGTAGAATGTCATGGAACCATAGCTCAATTGGTCATTACAGGGGGGTCTAGATTGCTCAACTGATCCCCGAATTGTAATTGAGCTTATTCCTAGAGTATAGAAAATCCAAAACTGAAATTTAAACACTTCACATGAGAACCTTTTTGTCTTAAATACATCAACTGCACCTGCTCCTTCCTTACTGTCAAATATCAGAGACGTCCGAAAATTTGTTTAATGATGATCTTTCCGACTGGGTTCCTTTAGGATGATTATTTATGAAAAATAATTTGATAAATTTGTGGACCTTTACTGGAAAATTTGTGAACCTTTACTGGAAAAAAATTATTATTATTGTTACTATTATTGTTAAATATAGATGAATTTGGTTTTGTCTATTGTTCTTCAATTTAACGCGGTTACTGCTACGAACAACCAATATGAAAACAGAGGTAAATTAACGTTTTTAATTCACATAATTGGGAGTGATTTGATTTCCCACCGAATAATTTGAACAAATGACAAGATGAACTAGTAAAATGAGACTGCTTTTGTCGGTTTGTAAAAACAAGTGATCTTCAATACAACCTAGGAATCGTATTATAAGTTGTATTTGAAATATGATTATCTTTTTCTAATCATCTTTAATTAAGATCTTAAGGATCACGATATCAGTTTTTGCGAAAAAGCATGTTGCATTGTTTTCTTGGCATTGGCTCTAACAAATTTTCATCAAACCCAATAAGTTTTTCTGCTATCCGATCAAAATACCCTTGATAATTTAAAAGGAGTGATCATAATCAAATATATAAAACAACAAAAAATTAACATAGTCTAAAAAAAATTCGATTTTAAATAGGAGCTTCGTGTCATATTGATTTTTTTGGCGCGGTGAGAAAATTTATGGCGTGGGGCACTTGAAAAATCATGCTTTTGATTATGATCTTGAGTATATAAACGAAGATTTGCATTTATAATTCAAGAAATTTGAGTTCAATTTTTCTAGGGATCGTTTCTAGGGAGACGAAATTTTTAATAAAAATGTATCTTTCATACCCAACTTATTCATTAATTATCAACTGTGTACCGGAAAACAAAGCTACGATTCGAAAAAAAAACTTAGTAGACACTGCGCGAATTAGTTTTCCAAAAACTCAATTCGACAATAATTAATAGACTCAAAATCGCAATCTATTTTTGACTATCCAACAATTTTGTTCGGCGAGTCAAATAATCAGGTGATACCTACTTTCTTTAACAAATTTATGGGGATATATTACAACAATAGGCCCTAAGAAAGCCAATGCGCAATGTATTAACAATATAGACTAGACTACGACGTTTAAGATCTGGTATTCTATCCCCGTAGAGTTTAAGCTTTACCAAGGAACCTACTATTGTAATACAACACCCTTTAATTTTTATTTAACAAGGTGGACAAGACATGTAATTTTTCATCCCCGACTTTTATTTTGCAAAAGATTTGAGCCTCGGGTTCTTTGAAATTTCTAATTCGCCTTGAAAAGCCCACCATGTTTAGGTCTCTAAATTGCGACTCTGAACTTAGGGTGTATAACATAGCAGCATTGTGTCATAGCATAATTGTACAAATTGTTCTTGTTATTGTACAACTGACTCATTTTTTTCAACAGATCGAGTGAAATGTCGGTTTGATCACGCTTGCCTACATTGCACACCTTGACCGCCCATATGTGCTTGTTGTTCATACTCATCTTCTTTAAGTCCACTTCCGTCGCTTTCGATCAACTCTTTCCGCTCAGCCCCGTCGGGAATAATCTGTTTGTCGGGTTTCGGAAGCAGTTTTCTGATGCCTTTCTGACTATCGGTCGAGGCAAAATTATGAGGTGGAAATTTGACAGTGTACTTAATAATTAGTCGGCCCTTTGAAGTCGGGTCTCGGTGGCAGGGCATTCCCTCATTGAGTACTGACTTGTATTCGCCATCTTTTATAACGTCTCCTGAAAACATGAACTGTTTTATTGCGCATTTAAAACGAACTGAAAAGGTATGAAATAAATCATAACAGGCAAATAACGATATAAAACTGAAAAACAGCCCAAATCTTAAAAAGGCAACCTCAAACTTTTTTTGACAGGAAAAAAATTTCAATACTTTTTTCTTGGAAATTTGCGCATCCCACAAGGTTTCTTTCATAGGTAACAAAAATGTTGAGGGCTTAAAAATTGCAGATCGAATACAAAATGGTCCGTAGAAAAATGGTCAAATTTACAAATGTAATCAATTTAACTAGTCGAAATAAATTTTCATGCAAAATTAGGTTGCTACGCTCTATAAATCTTATTTTCATTATTTTCAGGGACCATTGAGTAGAAAACTCACGTAAAAGTTTAATAACGACCGACCGTAAATATTCTATTATTACCTTTTATTACTAATTTCTGACGTCTATTTTGACCAATCAGCCCTGAATATTTTCTTGCGGCGCCTTTATCGCCAATGTTGACGGATTTAAGGTAGTAGGAGGCGGACGGGTCGTCCTCTACATTTTGTTTCAAAACCCACCCCAACACCCCCCGCCCCCGATAATGCGCCTCTGGCACAATGTGCTCATACATAGTTAGTGACTCACCTGGGAAGGACGTTAATAGTATAGTGCGATCATCCAGCGTCTTAAGTGGTCTCTTAAAGCCACAGAGGGCTTCGGTGAGGCTGATTTCAAGGTTTATCACGAGGTCGTTGTGTCTCCGCTTGAACACTTTGTGAGGTTTCTCATCTAGTACAATTATGACGTCACCTGCCTCTAAGTTGGGCTCTTGGTCTCCCTCCCCGTAGAAGTGCATCTTCTGACCATCTCTAGATCCTGTTACAAACAACACGCAACAGTTATATTTATTGTCAAATTGTAAGCAACATCGGTGAACTTGGGCAGCACTTTAATGGATCAAAAACTATAGCCTCTTATGCTTATTAGTTTTACGCAGAGAAATGAGTATAAAAAAACTAAATTCCGACGTCAAAATGAACAGTTCTAAGTATATAAACATGGTTCAGATTCGTTTAGTACGAAGGATTCAGTTAACAAGCCTCTAATTAAACTTCGTGCATATCTTATGATTTCAAATCGGTGAAATATTAACTAGCCGGTCCCTTTAACGATGAAAATTCAAACTCAGTTTGGTTTTAAAAATTTACATTGTGGCGCTTTTAAATAATTTGCTTCAATTGAAAAAGATTTAAAGTTTTCTATGCAAGCTCTTCGACTGATGGATAATTGGAAAATTTCAGCTGATCTGCGACAGCTTGAACCCCTTCACAAATAATCAAACTATGAAAATTCGAAATACTCTCGTTGATGTCAATAGCTTTGATCGAATTGAGGAAAGTTTAATTTTAAGAAAAATGTTCAAGCGCTGAAATAGCTTAAAATGCTGCGCAAACAAAAGCTTTTTTTACCAAGCTATTAAAGCAATGAGTTCAAGCAAGTTCATATAATCAATCGACAGCCAAAACTTTTTAAAGAAAGCTCAACAACCGGTGGAAAAACTTGTTAAATAATGTTCTTCATAGTTGAATCATTTAACAAATTATCAAAGTTTCAAGTTTTGTAAGCAATTTTTTCCAGCGATGAAACAGTAAATATTTCAAGTTTTTCTATTTTAAATCAGTTCACAAAAATTTTAGCTCTTTTACGACTAAGAGAGGCTGTGGTTTTTAGCGCGCTGGAAATTTAAAAATTTCTAGAAAACTTGTTGACGGCAAGGTACACATCTTTTCCATGACCAAAATAAAACAGAAAACTTATGACAACCAATTATGTAAAACTTAAAATAAACATGCTTAACTCTCATATTCCACAAACAAGCCAAATGGTATTTCAATTCTTAAAAAAATTATCTATCATAATCACATTTCATCTTTACTGATTTGATTTTTTTAATTAAGCTATAGTTCAGATCTTTCATGTCCATCGTTTTCTTTTGCTGGGCATGAAAAAACTGGGAGTATTTTTCTTTATGCAGTCTGACTTGAACTGTCCTTTTATTCAGCTTCACTTGTATTCAGTTCGGCTATTATCTTTATTCAGCTTCATAACCAATAATTCCTTGTGCACCTCAGACCAAGAGTTGGGCTAAGACTTAATCGAACAGAACACGACCGAATCCGGACATAACAATAGATGGCATAACGACTAGACAATGTATTAACACAGCAACTGCTTCAAAGTACTATTTCTTGTTTTAAAATGTTACATTATTTCACTTTTCTCGTTTGTGAGAAATTGATACTAAATTTTGCATTAAACATGTCATCTTATATGAAAGCAATATTATCTTTCTACTTTTTTTAATGCCTATGCCGGATGAGTCCCTCTCAATTATCATTAAGGTTGACATACGTCGCGCTACTTTTTGAAAGCCTGGTCTACAATAAATCATTCATGCAATCAGTACATATAGAAAACATTTTCAGGAAAACCCGAGATTTTTGACAAGGCATTTTCTCCAACTTAAAATTATCATCACTTAATGTCATCTAATAAATTGATAGTTAGTATCTATATTTTGATTCATATCATTTATTACCCAATTACGTCGACGCCTCGGAAGTTTTCGAGAAGACTGAATTTAATTAGGAGTTCAAACTAGGAACCCTACGTTAAAGCTACAGTAGGGGGCTATTCTCATGATGGAGGGTCAGAATGATGGAAAATTTTCAATCAAACAGAATAGTTAGTCATTTCTATTCGTAAAATGGTTTTTGCACAAAGTCGAAGTCAAATTAGCAGAAACTTATTTCAGGGCAAGATAGTTTCAATTTTTCAAAATCGGTATCCTTATAGTAATAACTTTTTTCCAATGTTTTAGATCTGACACTTTTTGAAAATTAGTTTTTCTGCATATTTTGAAATTGTTGAACTTGTTTCGCTGCCCTGAACTTATTTTCCTAAAGTGAAACGCGTTTCTTTGAAACGCAATTTCATGAAATTCAAATCGCAAAAATGATTTTTAAAAGTTTTTAGGTTGAAAAATTGACGAAATAATAAATATATATTTATTTATTTTTTAAAATTTATCCCCCCACAAGCTGATGTATTTAGCTGCGTGTTTCCTAATAATACGACCAAACGAGTTGCCTCATTTCAAATTGGAACACATTAATCCGCCGCTTACGCACGCGTGTTATAAAAACTAAATAAAGCGGGCATTAATTATCCAAAATGCGCCAAATTAGCAGTTATTTTCCATAAGTTAACACAAATGATCGCGGGTAAAAATACCTTTTCCAAGGAGCAAAAACATGTATCACGCTTTTTAAGCATTTACCAGCCGAATAGATTTCTGATTTTTTCGAAATCAGGAACCGCCACAACAATAATTTAAGAAACATAAACGTCAAAAAAAGGTCATTTATAGAACATTTCGGCTAACTGCTTTCAAATCTTTAAAATTAGCTATCAGACAGCTAGAAAAATTAAATGAACTCGGGAAACTAGAGCAACAATAACTAATTGGCTACTCCAACTACAATCAACTTAAAAAAGCACAACTTGAAAAAGCACTAAGTAAAACTTTGACCGAGCGCAATCATTGAAATTTATCAAACAAAGCCAACAAAGAGATGGAGAAGCGAGAAGGGACCAGAAAACGGAAGTTTTTTCTCTAAGAAACAAATGACCCTACAATCTTAATGGTTATTTGACCCACTTGCGATGCAACTCAAAAGTAGAAATGGGGCGGACGCTAGAAGTCTATGGAAAAAACTATCTCTAAAAGTTTATAGCTTTGTCTCGGATGATGTTCAAGCTTAGGAACACATTCCAAAAACTAATCAACAGAATTAAATTACCATTTGGAAAAATTAATAGAGCGCCTCCTAAGTCGACAAAACTCAAGTAAACGATCGCAGATCCGATATCAAAACTACCATAAGACCCTTTGTGCTATAACGTTTTCCAAAAAATCTAGCCTCTCAAAACTTACAAAGGACTAAAATTCTGTTTATGTCCCTGAAACGAATTAATTTAAAGTGACTTAGTCGATATCACATTTTCCGAAACAATTTAAAGAAAGAAAGAAAGAATTTATTTTTCCGATTGATAAATATAGTCATTAGCAAAACAAAAGTAATTTCATCAATGCATTTATCATCGGAATGGACAACTAACGAGACCATTGGTCCACATAAATGTTGCCCTTATATAGCACACATACTGAATTTAACATCAAACAAAAGAAAGAAAATAAGTTTTTTTTTTAATGAAGAAATTAACAAAAAAACAAAAAAATACGTGATTTTGATTTTTACCTAATTGAAAACATATTGTTCTTCATAGCGCTACCTATAGCAGTTCAGCTGATGCTCCGGCATGGGAACACGTCGCTTCAAAAAAAAACAAAAACAAAAATTAAAAAAAAAAAAATGAAGAAAATTTTCTAAGTTTTCGGGAAAATAATTATTGAGAAAAAATTCAAAAAATCATAAAAAGGGCCATATCTCCTAAACTAAAAGGTTCTGGAGGGTCATATTTTTTCACATAAATCGCAACCTATAGTTGATTGTCCTGTAGCATTTAACCAAGGTACTGAAATTACACAAAAATTAAAAACTGAAAACTAAAGTTGCCAGCTCGTTGTTACCTAGCAGGTATCCATTCTTAAATTTATGATAAAAACTTGTAATTTTTCCAATTTTTGCATTTTCTATCCCATCTTCGAGTAAGCCTCTAGTTTTCAATACGTTGTAAAGCCTAGACCCCCGATAGGCAATTGATTGCCGTTCAAATCGTTTTTTTCTAAATGATTCTTTAAGGAGGTTTAAATTAGCCCTACGCGTTACTTTAGTGGGATTTTCGAATTCAAACACATTATTCAAAAAATCCTCACTGTGTAGTTTGTTTACTGATCGGAGTACAAATTTTAGTAATTCATACACATGAAGCTCGTGCACGGTTAGCAGTTGATTTCTAATAAAAATGTCATCCGATTGTTCGCGACGATTTCGGAAGTAAATCAATTTTAAGATCTTTCTTTGAAGTATGTAAATCGGCATTAAAGAAGATTTGCTGCACGAACAGTAAACAAGAATACCGTATTGGATAGTTGATTTAATGTTAGTTCGATAGTAGTCTAAAAGCTGATGACGTGGAGCAAAATACCGTAATTTTGAAATAATGCCTGACTGTTTCGCTAATCGCATTCTTACATAATCAATTTGCGAAAAGAAGGATAATTTTGAGTCTACATATATCCCTAGGTATTTACAAACAGGTTCAGTTTTAATAGCACAGCTGTTTAATTGAATCTGAATAACATTTTTGAGCAAAAAAATGTAACGAAACGAGAAAGGAAATTATGAACAGGCGAAGCTGAGCTTCGCACCAGTTGCGATACAAAAAAAACGAGAAATATCAAAAGATAGTGTGTCTGAAACCAAATTAAAAACTTGAATGAATTCTGTTACAGTAATCATAGGCTCGAAAATTCAAGAAAAACTTTATTGTAATTGTTTAAAAAATCAATAATCGGATACATAAGAAGGATTCGGGCAACAAAAACTCCATTCATGTCTTTCTCAGAGCCAGTTGATGGAAACAATAAGAAAATTCGATCAAAAAATCGATATCCAAAAACTCAAAAGACAATAAGTTTCAAATAATTTCTACAAAAAAATTGCAGAAACCCTGGAAAAACTCTCAAGGCTCATAAAAAACCGAATTACATCACAATTGACTTATTAAAACAACACGCTATGCCATCAACTTGAATCAATTTAAAAAAAATTTTGCTGAAATCTAAAACATAATAAACAGATATAAACTAAAACTTATTCTACGCACTTGAAGAAAACTATCAGATATCAAGCATCCGAAAAAAACTGAAATTTTTTGCCAACAAACAAGCAGCAACAAATTTCTTCTCGTTTCCGATTTTACAATCAAATGCAACAGATATATTGGCCGCAAGAGTCTCCACTGCAATCTATGCATTACTGTCGCAGAAAAGCAGTCGTTCTCAGGAACTTTGAGCTTCAGAGACGAAGAAATGATATAGTTTCAGAGACACTCTTCCACAAACGCGATTCAGGCTCTTGGAACAATCAGCTTTGCCTCCTTTTTTGATATTCTAGTAAAATATCCCAACGTTCCGCGTTCTTGAATGATTTCTTCAAAAGTTTGAATAGACAGACTATTGATAGAAAATAGGAAAAACTGTTAAAAAAATCAATGTTTATTGAAACGTTTTTGATACGAGGAACTGATCATTAAACTCGGCAAGCATGTGCAAATTTAATAACACATTAAAAATCATATAAAAAAAGAATGCGAAATGGCACCATTGAGATAAATCTAACATGATGAGGAAGGCCTCACAGCGACAAAACACGTTGTCAATTTTTCACATTTAATTTTTTCTAAACTTGTTGCAGAGGGCTTCAGAGGGTGATTTAAATCTGCCTAAAATGTTCCCATTACAGTTCAATCTCTAAACTATCAACCTAAATTGATAGAATGAAAACATTAGGAAAATAAGCCGATATAATTAAAGCCGACTGACATGTGCGGAAAATCGACCAAAAATCTTCGAATCTAATAAAAAAATATTTTGCAACTCTTAACGTACACCCAAGGCACATATGCAGCCAATACAATAACCGTGTTTCTAATTAACCATGCTGAGCTTATAAAAAAAAACTGATTACCATTTGATCAATCTGCGAACATCTGTTGTTTACGGGAAAAAATAGTACCCGGTTGCAATACGCTTGCTTATCGTAAGGGTAAACAAAAATCAGATACTCCGCAATCAGTTTATGAAGGAGGTTTTCACTTTGATTGAAACCTTTTAGAGAGAAAGAAAGAATAAACTTCTCCGATATCACACTTGTGCTCTCGCCGAGTTCAAGGAACGTTGCGACCTCCGTTGGGTCAGCTTTGTTCTGTTTTGGTGACTGTTAAATAATCGATAGCACACTTAAGATCTACCAGAACATGCGTTGTTTACTACAACAGAGTGAAAACTTTTGAAAAATTTTCAGAAAATTGATATTTTGCGACAATTCACCTAGATGATAAAAGAACGACTCTCAGCTGTTCGTTGTCTCACCTGGTTCAACGTGAATCTCCAGAATCTTCTTCTCTCGCACTCTCTTCTTCCCATTGCAGGTTGGACACTTGAATTTGGGGTCTATGATCTTGCCAGTCTGGTTGCATTGTCCACATGCACTTCTCATCTGCTGGATCATCGGTCCCATCTGTCTAATCTGGGTGAACACTCCTGTTCCGTTACATGCAGCGCAGTCTTTTTCAGCTCCCTCTTGCGTGCATCCTTTTCCTAAAGCAGCACAGAAAGTTACTCCACTTTACGCCTTACCACGCTCAAGTCAACACAGAAGCTTTTCAAACAGAGGCGAAGAGGAGCTTTACGCTTTACAGTATTTGCTAGACAATAATAAAAACATGCCAAATTTGCAAAAAACAACTTCAAACAAATCTGCTAAAACGTCAAGCTTCAAAAAATTCCATTAAAAAAGAAAGATTTAAAAAAACTTCTCCAACGTTCGAAATCCGACAATGAGAATTTTTCTAATGAAAAGAAAATGGAACGCAAACTAGGCCGAAGAAAACTGAAATAAAAAGCACGAACTTGAAAACCGGTTTTGAGAATTTTGGGGGAGGGTTATCATGCTTGAAGGACCGAATGCTTGAAAAATTTCAGCCAATCAAAATCGCCAAGCGTTTCTATTGGCTAATGCCTTTCTCACAAAATCGAAGTCAATATTAACAGAAAATGTTTTAAATCAGTGGAAAAAAATCGAAAATATTACAAATTGCGGGTTACAACCGCAAAACTATTCAGATAAACATCAATATTTATGAGTTCAAGTTCATAAGAATTTTTAATTCTTGAAAACTCATCTGCTTATTATCTAATCGGTCAGTATTAACACTATTGGCCTGGATTTATTTTATTGCTTTGAGGTTTTGAATACTCAATTATGATTGGCTGAAAGTAAACTAAAACAAATTTCAAGCATTCGGTCCTTCAAGCATGAGGGACGCCACCAAATTTTGAATGTAATATCTTTTAACACCAACAATACCATGGTTAAGGCAATAATCCCCCCTCAAAATAGATAAATACTGGCAATTAGAGAAAGTGTATGGGTTTGGTCGACAGAAAATTGATGTCGTATTGTTAAGTAGTACCAAATGTAGGACTCCCTCATGAAAAAACATCCTGAATTGAGAGGTGGAATCAGATTAGCGTTTTGAGCAATTTTTAAAGCTTTTTACTAAATAATTGCGCTCTTTCAAGTGCACATTGTCCCAGAAAATAAATATATACTGACGTCCAAGACGCCATAAAAACTTTAAGGATAGATCGGCGGGTTATGGATTTCATATTGTAAAATAGTGCAAACGTTGACAAACATTGGCAATCATAACGAGAGAGTCGCAAGGCAGCCCCCCCTTCCCCCCCCCCCCTTCGGGGCGCTAATGGACCACATACCCTATGCTACCACCAGCTCAGTAAACGCGTGTTCTTAAAATATAAAAATGTGTGTCATAAATTTTGCTCTTTTTACCACTACGGCTATTGGCCACCGGCAACTCACTTCTTAAACCACATCTATTGATGAATTTTAAATCAAATTAAATGAATTTTGTTTCCAAGCTAATTTAATGACTTGAATTTCGAAAAAAAATTAATTAATAAAAGCCCATAAGCTAGTTTTTATTGTTTGAATTGGTGAAGCTTGTTGGTTTCCAAAATTGTTTGACAGCATTTTTTGATACTTAACAATCCCCTCTATGATATCTACTAAAAAATTGCCGCCCCCCCTATAGATAAAAGCAGTAACTTATCACTAAAACGTTCTATTTATAATTCGAATTTTCCTGCATTCTGATTGGTTTAAAATTCGACTAACTTAATCTAGTTATTAATTACCCACCCCTTCTTGCAAGGGGGTAATTTTCAAGTAGAACCAAAAAATCAGGTCCATGAGCTCTACATGAGCATCTTTCAACGGAACAAAACTAAGAGAAAACCAATTCCGAAACAATTTTTAGATTTTAAAAATACTATCTAACAAAGCAATAAACTAGCACAAAGTTTCCATCCACCCACAGCTATAATTGAAACAAAATGAAATATATAATTCTTTTCTAAGACTTCTTGCCATATTTTTTAGACTATTTTTTTTTAGAAAACTAGTTGTTTTTATTTCTATCGGTTCCCCCTTTTTAACTCTAAACAACTTAACACCCTACAATTTCACTCCCTACTTTTTGTTACCTTAGCAATATAACATCGCTACATTTTAAAACAATTTCTATGACTTAACACCGTTTTAATCCAAAATGAAAAGAAAACTTACTTCAAAGGGGATTTCGGTAACCATCAAAGAATTAAACGAGAGAAATTTTTGCCATTTAAAGCCAGACAAATTTGCGCTACTTAATTCGCCTAAGTTTTGAATAGAAATGACCTTGCAAATGATTTCAAAGAAACGTTTCAAACCAAAATGAAATGGCCTTGCCAATATTTTCAATGAATCATTCCAAAATGAACCAAAAACAAGCAATAGTTCAAAGAACTTCAAAAGCCCGCAAATAATTAGACGTCCTTTGACTAATATGGCCTGATTTTCTAGACATTTTCAGCCGGTATAGAAATTAAAAAAAGGTTTAACCAATGCCAAAAGCCTTAAAAATCATTATTTTAAGAATCATTCTCGAACTTAAACTTATGACCTGATCGATTTGTCAGCTTTTTTTGAACTGCTGGCACATAAAAGCAAAGCTAAAGGGTTTGCCAGCCCGTAGTCCCAACCTAGCATCCCGAAAATAAGGGCGATTGTCCTGGGAGTAAAATTGCTAAGGCACGAGTCATGTTCTTGCGTTTAGTTACGTTTCCGGGAGTCTGCAAGGAAACGTCTTTTCAAAAAAAGCTGACATAAATTTCAGTAGGATTAAAAATTAAATTTTAACAATACGAAAGAATAAACAGTAATGAAATAAAATTTACAATGGTTTAGCACAAACTAGATAACGCTCTGAAAAAGTACAGATCAGTTTTGTCTTCGTAAACGGACATTATGTTTTGTACTCTTTCATTTTAAACTCGATACTTTTTCTTTTTTGTGAATTTATGGCCACTCGATGCATCAAAAAAGTTGAGTTTTTGTACGGAGGCGTCTTTTTGCAGGCTACCCACTACTTTCCACATATTTGGGTGGGCTCCGCTGAAATATGATTGAATCCCGAAATGCCATCCCTCGACAGCATTTGTTGTTCGAGCAATCCCCATCACGGCCGCATCTCGCTGGTTCCAGAGGGAGGGTGGGAATGAAACTTCACGGTTTGGCACCATGCTTTTTATATAAGTAGAGCCGAAGTACAGACACAACTCGTCAATTTTCTCTATTTTCTCGGGTTCTAAGCAATTTCTGTCGCATACATTTTGAATTTCTTGAACAATCATGTCATAGGAATCGCCGATATTTTCTTTTTTCTCAAATGCCAGGGATGGCAGCATTTTTAAAGCCAGTGCTAAATCGTGATTTGTTTCGTAGGTAACTTTCAGGCCCAATTCATTAATTTTTCTCATGTAACTCTGGGAGAGATGAAAAAAAACAATCCGATAAATGTGCTTCGGGGAATGTTTTTTGGAATGACTGAAGAGCAGCTTGCTCAAAATCTAACAAATTTTTTTCAGGCCGGCAGTTGGGTGCTAAATCAGTTAACGCCTGCAGGAAGCGATTGTAGGTTTTTTCGGTTTTGTTAGAGAGGAAGGCGTAAATGCAAGCTGGCGCAATGCCAGATACACTAACATGAATTGAATAAAGCTGATAGAACATTTTTGGGGTAATTTTGAAATTTCCATCGGCTAACCAGAAAGATGACTTCTCCAGAACTCTCAGCATTTTGGGGTCGCCGCACAAAATGATTCGCTCATGATCATTTGATCCACTGTCATACCGGATAAAATTTTCAAAAATTTCAGGGATCTCGAAATTTCGCGCAACGGGGATGGGCGGCATATTTACATCTAGCTGCTTACGAGTGCGAGCGGCCGTTCGGATCAGTTTGTCTTTACGTGGGAGAGCAAACTGAGTAGCCAAATCGTTGGTAATTGGCAAAACCGCACTGGCAACTGCAACAGTCGGGGTAAATCTCTCGCTGAGATCTTTTATATGCTTTATGACATTTCGGGCCTCCGATTTTCCCGCTGAAATGTCGTGATTATGCTCTCCACGCGTCTCGATTAATTCGTTATTTTCAGTAATGGCAGTTGCTCGACATTTATGTGTTTGATATTTTGAGCAAATCCAGTTTTCTGTAAACTTATTTTTTCGCTTGAAATAAAATTCATGGCCGGACGCTATAAGAATTGGCTTGTTTTTAGATGAAACTGTGAACTCGAAAGAAGACTCAATCATAATGTGTTTATTGTGTTTGCGTTTGTTTATCACTTGAGTAAAGTATAAAGTGACTGTCAGAATTTAATTTTTGTCAGAATTTTTACGGCAAATTGTTTTGAATTAGCACAAGCAGCTAATTAGCAAATAAATTACAAACCTGTAGATAAGAGTCTTAAGTAAATTGGGAAGCCTCCTATTAGCATGTATAACTAAGATAAACCAAGTTTTTCATTATGGTGCGCGTGTTAATTGCAGGATTAACTTTGGTGTGATAAGAGTTAAGATAAGGAATTCATAAAGCATTAATTTTAATAGTGAAGTGACTAGGTGTTAAATTGTACTGTGTTAAACTGGAAAATAGGAGTTATATTGTTGTCGATTTAAATTGTTTAGTAGTGAAATGACTAAGTTTTAAAATGTACGGTGTTAAATTGTATGTCATTAAATTGTAGGACACCTTTCTATCCTACAGCGAACAATTGGTCAATAAACCAACAAATAAGTTCCGGCGTTAGGGGACCGGTGTTTAAGCAGAAACAGTGAAACATAGATCTTAAGCAGACTTTGATTGAAAGCCTAGTGAACTGAGCAATTAATTGGGGGTTGAGAAATTAGACGATAAGCAAATTAGACGGAGGTGCGTAAAAGGAAATTGGACGATTTTGCAAAACTGCAATTATGAGAAAATAGACGAAAGTGAGAGAGATTAAAATTAATTGCAGACAATTTGCGTGAGAAAAATAAAGTTGTTTGCAGACAACAGTTGAATTTCGGGGGCCAAAAATTTTACAAGTCAATCATGCATAATTTATTCAATTCAAAACTCTCCTGTAATATTCTGATTTGACATTTTATGTTTATTTAAACTAATTGTTTTGATAGTTTTGTCATTTTATATTCCATTTGTATTTTTGAAACTTGACTCTTAAGAAAAAAGTTTGTTGGCCCTTTCCTTTTCATAGCTTTTTTGTCTAAAATGCCAGATCTGTAAAATTTAAATTTCGTTTTTGTAGCATCCGTCTAATTTGCTTATCGTCCAATTCCCTAGGCCCCAATTAATTGATTAACCGAAGTAAAAGGCACGTACTGGGGCTGAGCTTCCCAAATTAAGACAATGATCTCACGGCTTGTCAACAAAACTCAAATTAAAACAAACTAGTTTAGCGGCAATCACTGATATACGCGGTCTGCTGAAAATCCTTTTTCAACCGACTTTTCTATTGTTTCACTTGGGCCAGATATAAATGAAGATTTTTAGGGTGGCGTCTCTTATGATGGAGAGACTTAATGTTGGCAAGTTTGATTCTTTTTTCCCCGCTATAATTCATTTCATTTTAATAAAGACTTCGGTAGCAAATGTCATTTAGCCACCAGGAATGTCTAACGATTCTGATTGGGCTATATCAGAAATATCGGATTCTTATCATGTGGCTATTAGTGCAAATAGAATAGAGTTGTGTTCCGCATCAAACTGAACAATTAATATATTTGAGCATGCTAAGCGGCACGCATGCAAACCGCTACCTCTCCCCCCCCCCCCCGAAATCGCAGGTGAGGGAAACAAAAAAATCCGGCTCTTATACATTGAAGGGCCCAAAATCGATATTTCTTTATCTTGAACTGAAACTAAAATAATCGAATCTAGCCAATCAGACTTAAGCAACATGGTCAATCAACATCTCGGCTCTTTTTCTGTATCACCCCATCTGCAAATATTACACAGAGGCGAACCTGCGCTTTGCAAATACTTGCGAGAACACGACCAAAACGCAGCTCTGTCAAGTGACAAACGAAAAAGCAAAAATAAGCCTCGAATTTGCAAAAATCGTCTACGCGTCGGATTCGAATACGCGACCTAGCAAATATGAGTCTCAAGAACTAACCACTCAGCCAAGGATGCATAAAATCTCCAAAAACTAGCCACCAATAACGCAGCTACTTATGCTAATCAACTGCCAATTCGATGCAGCAAAAGTAGCCACAAATATAAAAAGATACAATTTAGCATGTAGAAAAATCGCAAATCATGAAGCCACATTACGAATAAATTAAGCATTTCAAAAATTGCGAGATATATTGAGTAAGAAAACTTCTGAAAGTGAGATTTTGTTATTGTTATGTGGTTTGAAACAAATAGCTTTCGTCAATCCACTTGATGAATTAAAAATGCATCAACTGTGTTAACTTATAACTATTCGAATGTCAAAGCACATGTTATCAATAAGCTGTAAAGGTGCAACTAAATATCACAGGTGCAACAAAAAAAAAATATCTTATTGCCAATCGATGCAGTAAACTTGACGCAGCAAATATTCTATAAGTCGCTACAATAATTGCGAATTAGTCGCAACAAAAGCCGCAACAATGTTTGCGACTTACGTTGGAAAAAAAGAAAGTTCGTACTAAACACATTGCTTCGCAAGTGTAAACACGTAAAGTTTTGTTCAGAGTGTCTTGTTTGTTTTAAAAAAATGGCATGCGGAATAATTGGGCTATATCAAAAATATTTGGTCAGCATACTTAACCCTGTAAAACCCCTCACTTTACCATATAATTGATGCATATGCGAGGTGGAGGGAAAAGGAGCCGACATCTCAAGCAGATTAAAATTTTGACATCATTTTCTGCAGTGCAGAAAATGCATTTAGAAAAGTCAACGATTGATTTGCTCAAAAGTTCGGATCAACTTAACAAGCTCTCTTTTTTAAGAAAGGGAGAGAGATTGTTAAGTAGAATAAATCAGCGAACTTTCGACCTATCAGAATGAAGCAAAATTCGAATTTTAAATAGGTCGCTCTAGTGCTAATTTACTGCTTTTAGTTATAGGGGTGGTCATTCTTTAGTAGATATCATAAGGGGTAGATTGTTAAGTAGATACTTGTTAAAAGTATTTACTTTAGATTCTACTGAAAAAGCAAAACACTAAAAACATTTCGGTTTCTACATCCAAAATTGATTGAGCTACTCAAAATATAATAGTCAACTCAAAATTTTTTATTTATTTGTTATTTATGGCCTCTTTAAAGCACCAGACGCCAAGAGCCTTCCTAATCTGTTTATTGTAAGGGAGCATCACAGCCTCAATTATAAATTAGCTACTTCTCTAAAATTTTAAAATCAACTTTGATCTCATTGCATGCACTTCAATTACGTGACAATTAAATAGTTATTCTACGTCCATTTTTTTCTCAACTTTTTTTGATTTACGTAATGTGCAAATCGGTCGGCTCAATTAGATCAATCTTTTAATTCCATCATTTAGTTTTTTTGACGTCATGAAGCAAACTAACAAAGCAGATAAAAGTTGCGCTAAATCAACCATTAGCAACATGACATCACAATGGATGATCTGAAATTGTTAAAGATATCGATGAATTTAAGACAGGGTCGATTTAAGCGAATTTTTCAATGCAAAGCATACATCTTATGTACAACTGACACCAATAATTTAATTTGCTGTAAAAAATGCAGGAAAAAACTAATCGGAGTAACGGCATACCTAGTAACGAATCTTCCCCCCTTTTGCAAATGGGGGTGGGGTAGTTAAAGCGATCCAAACTATCCACCCACCCCCCATTTGCAAAAGGGGGGAGATTCGTTACTAGGTATGCCGTTACTCTGATTAGTTTTTTCCTGCATTTTCTCAGAAATAGTTGGTCAACTACAAAAAAAAAGTTATTCGCGCATGAAAACAGCACCCTAAAATCTTCACAGCACACATAAATTAGTCCAGAGCATGACTCGTTTTCACAAAAGTCTTCACTTGAACTGCCAATGAACGAAGTAAAATCAGCAAGAACAAATTCTAATGCTTTTTCATAAAACCACATTAGACTATGCGTTTTTAACCGGTGAAAAATCGCTCTCAGGCAAATTAATCTAGAATGTTAGCAAATTTAGCTGGCCGCTGTAAAAGTACCACTGAAAAAAAAAATTTTTTTTGTGTTTTTTTCAAGATGAAATATCCAACCATAAAATGTTGCGCCTTTATCCACTTTTTTGTATTTCATACCAACTTTCCTCGACACTTGCAAAAACGTTTTCGCAATTTCTTTTAAGAGTCCCAATCGCGACTAAAGGGGCTTTAAAATGATACTCTAAATCATTTTAAGCCAATATTTCTTTCCAATCTACGAGTGATCCTAGCAGCGTCCTGATTTCATTCACGAACAATTTGCGCCGGCTTGAACAACCCGTGTTTAAATAGGTTTGCTTTAATCCAGGATTAAAAAATATATATGTATCACTGTGTGTGTTCGCAGGGGCGGATTTAGGGGGGGGCGGACGACCCCCCCCCCCCCCCCCCCCCCCCCCTCCCCTCAGGGATTTGACCCCCTGCCGACCCAAAGGGTCCCCCCTTTGATACTTTTTCAGATATCCATTTTTGGCCGACCGACCCTAAAATTTTTCTAAAGGCGCCTTCGGCGCCAATAGATGCTATTTTTGAGGGGGAGCGCGCGCCAAAAAAACGCATTTTTTTGTCAAAATTTTTCAAAAAGTGCCCAAAAACGGCCCAAAAAAAAAAAGGTGGTCAAAATTTTGGAAAATTTTTTTAAAATCCGCCCCCCCCCTCGAGAAAATCCTAGATCCGCCCCTGTGTGTTCGTGTGTATGTATGTTTGTTTCTTTGTATGTATGTCTAACAACTTCCTTTATTTAATCGCAGTTTCTTTAAAGTTAATTAGGTTCAAAATATCACAGCCGATATTCCTCGGCAATCTCGGCCCACTGTTTTTTTTAATCTTACCCTCGCAGTCGGCACAAATTACATTCTTCTGCAGGGCAAGTTTCCGCTTTGATCCATTGTACATCTCTTCCAGACTCACTTCTAACTGATGCACTACATCCTTGCCTTTCTTCGGCCCCTCCCTCTGTCCTCTCGCGCGACCCCCGAAGAACATGTCGAAGATGTCGAATGCGTCGTGGCCTCTGCCCCTTCCCCCCTCGGACAGACCCTCCTCTCCATGGTCGTCGTACACTTTGCGAGTTTCGGGGTTGGCGAGTGCTTCATATGCTCTGCCGATGTCTTTGAACTGAACATTGAAAATAATGAAGCTCTTACACCTTTCCACCAAAGGTGACTTAAACTGTTACAATCTTAGGTTCACGTGGTCCCAATTTTAGGAAAGGAAGCAGCAGGGCTTATTACATTAATAAAAGCTTAGTCTTCATTAATAACCTTGCGTAGAAGTGGATATGTCCAAAAGACATAGCCAACAGATAGTTGGAAAAGAGTCAATGAATGCAAGTAAACAGAAAAAAATACTGACTTGGTTTTGAAAATCTCAAATTTCAAACAAAAAGTAGATGCCCTTAAAGCCCTTTGAATTTCTAGAGCAATTAATGATTCGCACTTTTTTGATGAAATTAACCCAACTTTAATTACCTGAATCAATATGAGTTAATTTATTTCGCTGGTAAATATGATAATTAAACCCCACTTTCGCAACTGGAAGTCGATCACGTTTTTCGTGACTTTAACCTTTTACTGTTCGATAGTGGATTTTTCCTTCCTTTTCACAAAAGTTATGACTTTTTTACCTTAAAAAGAAATCAAAAGTTATACCGCGAAAAAGTAAATTTGAGCCTGAACAATTTTTTTTGACTTTTCCTGAAAAGCAACCATCGTGACCAATATAAGAGTCTGAACTACGTTCATCGTCTCTTAAACAGCTTACAACAAAAAAATTGAAATATTTTCTAATAGAAAAAGCTGTAGAAACCATACTGACGAGCAGACCTGCCAAACTTCTTTTCATAACCCAACAGAAGAGCAAAAAATGCATGAAACTGAGTCGTCTTAATCGCTTTGGTGAACGCGAGCACCAAAAAATCTGCACTGCTTTTCAATTCCGGACATTTACAGCACCATAGCTGTTCTAAATTTGACAAAAAAGGTACTTTAGAAGGCCTGCTTGCTGAGAATACTTAAATTACTGGATCAAAACTTTTTTATTCCGTTGTTAATTCTGAAAATTAAAATCTAATTTTGAAATAAGCCATTCATTTTTTTGCGCCATTTGACTTTTTGCTATTTGAGAGCCGAATTCGCCTTAATTTACGCAAACGAAATCGAATTTGACTCATAAACATAGCCAAGTAGTAAACATAAACATTAAAAAAAACACTTTGTTGAAAAATTCGAATTTGAAAGAAAAACAATTTGATGCCTTGAAGCTCTTTGAACTACTAGACTGATCTATGATTGGCGCTTTTTTGATAAAAAAATAACCCAACTTGAAAAAACTGGATCAACAGGTAAAATTTTTATTCCGCTGGAAACCTACAAATAAAATTCCACTTTCGAAACTAGAAATCGTTCACGTTTTCCCGCGCTATTTCCACGTTGATCGTATTTGGAGAGTTCTATTTACAGGAGATGAATCTCCATTGAAAACAAAAAGTGCATATATACCTAAGTGCATTCAAAAATGCATCAATATGTATGAATGCACATCTGTAGTTATTAGAGACTTTTATGCAAATTTTAGGCCTTTTTCCTGAAAAAAAACCAAAAAAAAAAAACAGCAATACCTATTTAAGAGTCTTCACTATGTTCATTACTCCTAAAAAAAGTCGAAAGTTAGACCGTGAAAAAATCAAAATTTGAGCGTGAACAGCTGTTCAGACTTTTCTGAAAAAATGGGAAAAAATCAACACGAACTTTATAAGTAATTTCGCTACGTTCAGATATTTAACTTAATGGCGACGCTTCGCTTCGCAAACACATGCGATAACACGACAAAAAGGCAGCTTTATAATGTCAAAAAAAAGAAAAAAAAAAGAAAAAAGCCTCGAATTAGTAAAACTTTGCTGCGTATCGTACTCGACTCTGCGACCTCGAGATTTGGAGTCTCACACCCTGCCCGCTCGAAATTATGAAAAATTCAATCTCAGAAAAACAAACGAAACACACGAACACTAGCATTAAGCTATCTTCAAGTAGGTTCAAAAAGCCAACAACATGTGGTTAGACGTCAATTAAACCGAAAACGAAGGAAATTGTCAAAGGAACGTGTTGTCATAAAAATTTTTTTGAGCGATTAAAAAGTTTGCACTTTTAATTTTTTTTTAAAAACATGAATAATCATTTTTTATCTTTACACCGATGCAAAATAAGTTCACTGAACTGAAAAAACAAGAGCCGAAATCCTAGAGGCCGAATAAAATTTCTAAGCAAAAAAACCGAGAAAAAAAGGGCAATTATACCAATCAGCCGGTCCCCCCTTTGTACTAATTTAAAAACTTTTGGCAGGCAAATTTTTCTTGAGGCACCGTTGTCATCAATAAATACTTAATTTGAAGGGGGAGAGCGCGCCGAAAAAACGCTATTTCTTGGTCTACATTTTTCAAACCCACCCCCCCCCCCCCCCGGGAAAATCCTAGATCCACCCCTGCAATCAGGTATGGTTATTTTGAAAACTACAGGAGTTAATCAGCGAGACTTGATACTACAATGAAAACTGATTACAGCGCAAAAAAATGGGGGAGGGGCAACTAAGCCGCCAACACATCAGCCAACAAACTAAAATCCGACTAATCAATTTTTCCCGGAAAAAATTTCAATTTCAGTTCAATTTCGGACACTGAAAAAAATCAAGATCCGGCGGGACTCGATCCTCTGACATTAGGTTTCAAAGGTAACTGCATTACTTTCAGACCAAGTGCGATGAACCAACAGCTGGCTTTTGATTTCATATGAACCAAAGCTAAAATGATTCAAGTGATTTTTGTTAAACTAGTTGTTAACTAGAAAAAAGTCTATATTCCGATTTGATAACGCTTGCTAATCGCAAGCGTAAAACAAGAATAGTCGTACTATAACACTACCTCACTCAAGTTCGCAAGTGTAATAATATCCTGTCAGAAAACATCTGAAAATTGTAATGAGCTAGATTTCGTGCCCTAATTCAATAAGTGCAATTTACTAATAAGATGCATGGATTTGATGTTGTGGATTCAATTACGTAACGAAGTTTGCAAAAGTTCTCGAAAGCCTCATACACTAATACATCAACACTTCGTAACTGATGCTGTGGTTTTATTTTTCCTGAAGCCTCATACAAATTCATCGGCGATTTCCAACTGACGTTAAAGTTTCACTTTCTGAAAATGACAATTACCAAGTTTGCAAAATTTCTCGAAATTTTCGTATATTGATTCATCTACAACTTTTTACTGATGTTCTGGTTTCATTTTCTGAAATTGACACTTACGAAGTTTTCAAAAACTCGCGAAAGCCTCATACACTAATACATCAACAATTTGTTACTGATGCTGTGGCTTCACTTTCTGAAATAAGCAGTTGTCAAATTCGCTAAAATTAGCAAAGCTTCACATACTATTTCATCAACGATTTGAAAATATAAATTGCGAAGTTTGCTAAAATTCGCAAAGCTTCATATAATATTTCATCAACGATTTGGAATTATAAATTGCGAAGTTTGCTAGAATTCGCAAAAGCCTCATGTACTAAATCATCAACGATTTGTAACGCATGTTGTGAATCAGTGAAAATATTTAATCTATAACTATCATATACGCGCTTCTTAGACAACGGATAAATCACTTAATAAGATAATAGCTACACTTACGCTCTGTTTGTTTAAACTTCTTCAGTAGTTGAGTTATTCGTACCTTTTCAGCAGCATTTGGGTCATCTGGGTTTTTATCGGGGTGATACTTCAGTGCCATTTTTCTGTAGGCTTTCTTCAGTTCAGCCTCTGTGGCTGTGGGCTGCACTCCCAGCAGGTCGTAAAACTTGGTTTCCTTGACCATTGTCAACAGTGTTTTCTAACTAGAACAAAGCATTTTTCAAATAACTAAGACCGGTTGTTGAGCCGACAGCACAAAGGATTCTGACTACAATGATTTTCGCAACCAAATTTTAAAAACTATCAGAATTAATTTTCTGATTTTTGGTGCGTGTTGGGAGATGGATAAAAAGATTGATTAAAAAAACTGCCAGTCGTTTTATTAACCACCAAAAATAAGGAAAATTAGCTTAAATTATCAAGGGTCACTCTTCACTGCAAATTACTCCAAAAAGTAAAATTTTGAAACCGGTTTTTGTCTTTGGTATTTTTAATGGGTAGGGCAAAAAAACTACTTGAAAAAATAACTTCAAGTTGAAAAATTACAGCTACAAAAATTTCATGTTTGTATCAGATGAAGTTCATAAACAGTCTTTAAAAATTCGAAACCATTTACCGAGTGGCAGCTAAGGCGACCAACTTTGGGTCGAAACTAGTTGAGCCAAAAACAACTGTTGTCATAAAAAATTTCATGTTTTTAAAGTTTTTACGACCCATCCAAACTAAAACACACAATCCCACACAGATATATTTTACAGGCGATGAGTAAGTCCCGTGAACAAAGTTATTTATTGCAAAAGTACATGATACATTATAGATTTTTTTAGAAAAAAAACATAAGTCAAGGGTGGGAGTACTAAGTGAATACACAAGCTAAGAGAATAGTTTACTTTGCGAATAATTACTGTTCTTGAAATAAAAACATGCTCAAAATATGCTCGGAAATAAAGCTGCTGGCCAAATGATTCGAAGTTATTGTTTTAAATAGTTAACCTTGAAAATTCTACATTCCTATTTGATAAAGCGTGCAACTCGCAACCGTAAAACACGCAGTTAAAATTAAAACAATGATGCGAGACATTGTTTCGAGAGGGCAAACCAAAACATGTTCAAACACATAAGCGAAGCTGTGCTTCGCAAACACCTGCGAGAACGCCACCAAAAAGCAGCTCTATAAATTGAAATGAGAAAAAGTAGAAAAAAGCCTCGAATTAGCAAAACCTCGGCTACGCGTAGGATTCGAATCTGCGACCTTGCAAATTTGACCACGGATCCTCAAATTCCACAAGAAATGCCAAAAATAACCAAGCTACATATGCTTATAAACTGCCAATTCGACACCGCAAAAGGGGCCCCAAAATAAAAAAAGACACAACTTTGCATGCAATAAATTGGAACGCATAAAGCCAAATTATGTACAAATTATGCATTACAAAAACAAATTGCGAGATACATTGAGTTGGAAAATTTCTGAAATCGAACTTTTTATCATTGTACTTTTTTTTGGAACAAATAACTTTTTTCGGTTCATTTGATGAATTAAAAAGGCGTCATTTGTGTTGACTTGTTACTAATCAAATGTCAAAGCACATATGCCATTATAATGCTACAGCAGCCTACCGATTCAAAATGGCCACCAAAAGTAGCACTTTTATTTGCGACTTAGGTTGGAAAAAAAGAAAGGTCGCACAAATACACTTTGCTTCGCAAGTGTAAATATTACGTTAGAATTTCAAACAGTAGAAGAACGGTAGAAATCGGATCTTCGCCCAATTTTTTGAAAAATATCGGCAGTTTGTCCTAGTAAGGCTGATTTTTGTATGTTTGCGAGACTTTTTGGTTTTTCGAAAATTTGACATCAGATGTTTGCACGGAACCCACTTTTAACATGAACCCAATACCGACCAGGGCTTTAATATGGTATTTAAGTCGAACTCATCTGACGTTTAAATTTGGAGCCTGATTATGAGTGGATATCCGAAATTGTTCCTCACTTGATGGCCAGATCCCTGTTGCTATGCTATGAGATTATTAAAGACCACATTCTAGATAAAATTAACTTCACATATGTACATAGTAATTTTTAAATTTTTATATACGTAGAACTATATGTAAATGTATGATGTACGTTTGATCGCAATACCAGACACTAATTAACAAGTGACAGAACCAGATATTGCCGGTTTGGTTCAAAAACTCAACAATGATTATACATCAGCAAAGATTCTGTAGGTAAGATTTTGGTCAAGCAATAAAAACAGCTTCAGATATTTCTTTTTCCTGATTTTCCTTTCTTTTAGGCTGAATTTAACTTTGATGTCCTAGTTGAATAATAAATTTTTGGGTGTCATATGAACAAAATTATCGAAGGTAATAACTTTTCTACCTTCTTCACTGGATTTCCAGGGACGTCAGTTCTGCTAAATGTGATAATTGTATCAATCTGATTCGGAGAGATGACTTGCTAGTTAAACGAAACAGACAGCGCAAACTTATCTGAAAATTCAGCCACAACATTACTTTCAAGACACAATCAGTGATTTATTTAGAAGGCAGCGCGGATTCCTATCGTATAATATAGTAGGATCATTTATGGCGCAGTAACTCCATTTTAGTTTCATAGGAAAATCATAAGTTTCTTCCGGAATCGCAGACTTCCCAGGCTTAAGTTTAGAATGACATCAATAAATTATCACTTTAAATATGATCTTAAAGGACGGTTTACTTGAATGCAAATAGCCAATCAACTAAACAATTTCATTTTGCTTGCCCGATACCAAGGGTTCGATTCCCTGTGGCAGCTGTGAATTTTTAAAAGGGCTGATGATGGGGTTATGATGAAGCCAATAACAGGGTGGCTAAGTTAGACAAATATTTACGTATAACTAATATAATTATACAGGATAGGATTGAAGAAGGTCAGCGCATTTCGTTAACTATCATTTTAAAGTTGCGGTGCAATTGCTTTCATATATACAGAAAATCAATTTTGCTTAGTTTATTTTGTTTTTCAATGAAGATAAGCCAAAAAATCTCAAAGCGATTTCAATCAACAGCACTTTTTGTAGAGCAAATTATTCGCAAATGAAATCTCTTAAAGTTTATTTTAAGCATTTTGCTAAATTTATTTTGTTTTTCATTGAAGATGAGCCAAAAATCCTCGAAACGATTTCAATCAACGCACCTTTGTAGAACAAATTCTTAGCAAATTAAATCTCTACGCAAAGGCGAGACAGAGATTTGGGCCACTTTCGACACAAAAGAAACAAAGAATGTCAGAGCTAGCCGAAAGCCATTAGTAGAAATAAGGAAAAACTCAAAGAACCACCCAAAGTGCTCATCCGTCTCAAAAACTCAATTCGAACTAAATCGATATAACAAGCCAACAATATTTAAACCAAAAAAACATTAACGCGAAAACAATAAAAGCAGAAGTTATACAATAAAAGCAGAAGTTATTTCAATAATGTTCACCAAAAAGATATGATTAACACCTGGGGCGGATTAGGGAGGGGGCGGGGGGTGGGGGATCGGCTGTTTTTCACTCAGGGATTTGACCCCCTGCCGACCCAAAGGGTCCCTTTGTACTATTTTGAGATATCCAGTTTTGGTGATGGACCCTAAAATTTTTCTAAAGGGGCCTTCGGCGCCAATATATACTAATTTTGAGGGGAAGCGCGCGCCAAAAAAAAACAATTTTTTTTGTCAAAATTTTCCAAAAAGTACCCAAAAACGCCTTTTTTGACCTGTTTTTTCATAACTTTGCCTGCGGCGCAGAATTTCGGCCAAAATAGGGTATTTGTGTGCTTGGGGAGAGCTCAGAAAATCCGCCCTCTCGAGAAAATCTTAGATCTGCCCCTGATTAACACAGCATGCCACTCTTAAATCATCGAGTGAAAACATATCTACTTGTGTGAAAAAGAGAAAACCGACAAATTTATTTTTAGTTTTGAAAGTGTTGGAGAAGTTAGTGTGACACCTTCTCGAGTGGTGTAGTCCTTTGCGGTGGGGTCCGCAGTAATCGGATCTACCCCGGTGTATCCTGGGGTTTGGTCTGAGCTTTTGGGCTGTCGGGCGGGTATTTGTACTTGCTATTGCCTGCGCCATGTATTGGATCACTGGCTTCCAATATGTCACCGACGGTTCATCAAACGATGCTATTTCTGCTAACGTCACACGCCGCATTGCCCAGTGCTCAAAGACGCAAGTGCGAACCTTGGGGAGCCTTGCTTCGGCAAACGCAAGCCTTGGGGGTCACTCGACATGCTTGTATTCCGCTTGCCCTGTCTGGATACGGCCTTGAACCAGACTAAGTGCCATTAGTAGTCTCGCAGGTCGTCGGATAGAGACGACTATTGGTACAACTTTCTGTGTTAGTGGAGACCAGAAGCGGGGGACTGTGTACAGAAATCCCTGATGATTGTGAAAGCTATTTGTGGACAAATGGGCTGTTCCGAAGTTGCCATGAATGGTAACCGCTACAATGCTTTTAGCCCTGTGGATCCTATGATTTAATCTTAGGCAGGGTTCTTATCCGGTGATTTTAAAAAGCTCGGATTCGTAAGGTGGGTAGCTAGGCAACCTGCTACCCTTAAAGAATATTGCTTTTTGGTGAAACTAACTCTCAGTTATGGTCATTTATGACTATAAGAATACTGAGGACCTTTCAGCCTTTGAAAATACAATGTCAAAAATGAACGAATTTCGATTCGAAATAATAGGAGTACGAAATAAGTTACAAGTTGAAAATAATTCGAAACTTCTTTTCTGAGAACAATTTGCGTGTACCACCTAAACTTGCATGAGCCACGCATGCGGCGTAAGTTCCCATAACCTGTTTTTTCAATGATCTCAGATTTGGCGATGTGTTTTCCAAGAAGTCAACAATTTTGCAGAAATGGCAAAAAAAACGGTGAAAATTTAGACATTGGACATTTTCCAAGGAAATACTGACTGATTTTTACTGACAAGCAAAAACAGGGTCGCCGCTTCTACAGGAAAAAAAACCTCAGATTATAATTAATCTCAGATTTGGTAAGACAGATTGTGATCAAGTCAAAAACTTTCCAAAAAACGGTCGCAAAAATTAACAAACTTTATTTTTGCGCAAGCTATAACTTTTTCTTCAAAAAATATCGCGCGACGGCTTATGCAGCGAAGAAGCCAAAAACCTTTTTTGAACAATTAATTTGAGAATTGGCTGTTTAGTTTTCGGAGGAGAAAATTCGAAAATTTTCCAAAAAAAACGGCTATTAGCTTTTTCTTAACAAAACTTGGACAGCCTTAAGAGGTTTCCCACAGCGTGTTGTTTCGATTAAACGCTTGAAACCAGTTTTGGCAGGGTAGTTTTGCAAACAAAAAACATCCAAAAATTTGGCTTCTCGATGGACATTTTTTTGTAACAAAAATTAGGGCGGCTTCACTTACAAAGGGATAATTTCTACAACCTAAATTAAACGTTTCATCCTAGCTTTGGGATTGCTGCGTTTGAGAAAACAAAAAACATTCAACAAATCAAAAGTTTCATTTTCCGCGTGCCATTACTGATTGGGCAGAAAATTGGGCAAATCCGTTTGTGCAAGAGAAATTTCCCAGCCCGTTCTATAGATTGAACCCAGGTAGGGGAGGGTTGATTTGGTAAAAGTCAAAAAAAGATTCAAACAAAACAGTCAAAAAATCACACTTTTCATTTCTCTTAGTGCCAAAACTTTCTGTTTAAGAAAGTTCGAGCGTTGCAGCTTAGGCAGGGGAGCTTCATACAATCCACTCTTTCAATTGAATCTCAGATTTGGCAAGGTATTTTTTGAGAAAATGAAAAAACCTATAAACATCGGTCAAAAATTCTCTAACAAACAATGCTGTAAAAAGTGGGTAAGATAAAAAAGAGAGTAGGAGAATTCGTAGACACAAGCAAGGGGGTAGCCGAAATTTCTTATTTGTACTGGAAAAAAATGGAAATTTTTGAGAAAACTGAAAAATTTTCCAAATCGTCAAAAAACCCATATCTCCTACATTTTCACTACATTTGTTATATATACTTGTTTGGTATATCCCTATTAATATAGGGATATACCAAATCTAAGTTCCTTTTAAATTAAAGACGCTGTGATTAAAATTATTTACGGGTAAAAAGTCTAGTACCCGGTTACAACATCCTTGCTTTTTGCACGCGTAAACAAACAGTTGTCAAGCAACCAAGAATTCAAAAGAACGGAAATAAAATGTTGACTTTCCGTTAATTTCTCATTGTAACGTCTAGATTCATCAAAAAACAAAATCGATATGAAAATATTTCGATTTCCAGAAAATAATACGATAAACTGGTTTTTCAGATATACTGGCTCAATTTGAAAAAAAAATGTCTCACGAAAAATTCACTACAAAAACGCAACAAAAAATCGAATGAGTGAAAAATCACTACGCACATCAGCAGTTAAAAAAATAACAGACAGAAATATCACAGAAACTCCACTTGTCAATTTAAGGTGTAGATTTTCTTTCATTGCACAAGCATTTTGTGGCTTACTTAGATTTCCCGTTTGAGAGAACAAGTTGTAACCAAGCCGAAAGAAAGTTCTCCAGTTTTCATGCAACAGGATGTTCCAACAGAGTAATCACTGCCAACCAAATTCGAAAAACTGATTTAGTAAATTGGAGAAGCTGAAAAAAAATTGAGATCAAAGCCAAAACACAGAAAAACTGAAAAAGTAATTCAAGCCATTTTCCATGCACTGTGCACACCTTTAAAAAAAATTTCGCATTTCAAAGGCATTTGGCCTTTTTCTTTCATTAGCCCATGTTGGTCGGGTTGGGCTCGTCCGTCTCCAGGCTTCGGAACTTCCACCGACCTAAGCCACAGGTCTGCGGGAGTGAGTGGGGAGGGATTCTTGGGGCAGTTAAAAATGTGGCAACTAGTGTGTGGTGCTAGGTGACAGTCCGGGCATAGTGGCGAAACTTGGTTGTCTAGTGGTGTTTAAAAGCCGGTTGTAGCCAGACCGGAGTTGGGAGAGTTTACAGCGGGTAGTTCTTGGGAGAATTTTTCTGTGGGGCCGACCTTATGGGGCGGTATACAAATTACTTCAGAGGGAGGGATTTCTGCGAGAAACTTGGTTACTAGATTTGTGTGGTTGTGATTTAAAAGGGACTTGTGGTGGTTAAAACTGAAAGTAAAAACTTCTTCTGGGTTATTAAGATTGAGTGAAGGATTAAGATTAGTTAGAACGGAGTGCGTATCTTCTTTAAAAGCGCTTAAAATCGTGGAGGTATGGGGTGTGGGTAGAACTTGTAGAACTTGACGTGGAGGTATGGGGTGTGGGTGGTAAAAATTATTTGGGTGATGGGAGCGGTATGACGAGATAAAAAACTGAGAGGTTAAAAGAGGGTGGTGATTTGGAACATTGAGGATCTCGACCTCACTGTGCAGATGGGCAGTGTTGAGCCGGTAATAACTCTGAGGGCTTGATTTTGGGTAACCTGCAGTTAATTAATGGAGGTTTTACTGGCGGCATATGACCAGGCAGGGGAGGCATAATCTAAAATGGGGCGTAATAAGGCTTTGTAAGTTAAGAGGAGGGTTTCTTTAGACTGTCCCCAAGAGGATCCTGCCAACGCTTTCAGGACATCTATCCTGCGGCGAGCCTTGTCAGCGGACCTTTTACAGTGTGCAGCAAAGCATAAGGTTGGGTCAAACGTAACTCCTAAAATGTTTGGGTTTTTGTTAAGAGGGAGAGGCTCGTTGTAAGATTACACTGGGTGTTTTGTGAAAATTTTAATTGTACGATAAAAAAATGGTTAATTGATCCTTTAGAGGACTCGAAAGAAAATTTTCTGGAAGTGAAAAAACAAAAAAGATGACGAAAGTAATCGTTCAACGATCGAGATGCTGCCTCTACATCAGGGCTTTGGGAAAAGGGATGGAAATCGTCAGCGTAAGATATGAGACGAACATTATCGGGGGGTGTGGGAGCGTCATGGACGTAAAAATTAACAAGAGTGGGCAAAAGAACAGAGCCATGGGAAACTCCACTGTGAACTATTTTTGAGGGAGGATTCTTGGTTGTTAAAAATTATGGTGGCTTGTCGGCCATTCAAGTAGTTACTCAGCCAACGAACAATACCTCTCGGGAGCGGTGTGTTATGAATTAGTTCCACGAGAATACGATGACACACTATATCAAAAGCCTTCGAGAGGTCAAGCGTTGCGATAACGGTGCAGGAGGGTGGGCGATTTTGATTAAAACCGTCTGTGACAAAAAAATTCTAGTGTGGAAAGCGCAGTAGTGGTAGAGTGGAAAGGAGGAAAACCATGTTGATGTGTGGCGGTAGGGAGATACTTAGTTCAAAAAAAGGGCGAATGAGCCTTTCTAAAACTTTAACAGCGGGGCAGAGTAAAGAGATGGGCCTATAAGAATTGGATAATTTTTGGTCCTTTTCGGGTTTGGGCAGGGCGATTATCTTAGAATTTTTCCACACTTAAGGGATAATATTTTCAGACAGCGGCATATTGAAAAGAAGGGTTGAAAATTCAAGAGTTAGGAGTCCGAGGTGTTTTAAGTGAATGTTGCAAAAGCCATCCAGACCAAGAGCTCGCGAGGGTTTGCTGTCCGCAATGGCTTGTTTAGTTTGTAGGGGGGAGAAAGTGGTGTAATCTAACAGGGTGAGCTTGGCTATTTTGCGTGTAGTTTTCCGGAGTAGCTTATCTGACCTGGCATTTGTAAACTGTTAACTAAAAGCCTTGGCTATGTCTGTAGAGATTGTTTTTGATTCAAACTGAATAGGGGTGCCTTCCTACCACACGTCTGGATCCGTTTAGGGAGCGTACCATTATCCAGAATTTTCTGGCGCCAGTGCGGTAATCACAAGTCTGGAGGAATTTCACGCCATTTGTTTCTCTTGTCTTTCGCTGTCTGATTGAGGAGTTGGGAATTCAGTTGGGAAGGAGTGAAACGATTGTGCTGTGTAGGTTCCATGGGCTCATTATTGTGGCGACCGAAATCTGTTTCAGCAGCAAGAGAGGCAGACTGGAGAAAGAGTCGGGGTGTAATGGCGGTGGCGCCCGGCGGGGATGTGGTGGCGTGCTGCCCTCAGTTCCAGATCCCGAAAGAATTTCTCTCCGGTCGTATTTGAAGAAAGAAACCTCGAGGCAAGGCAACCCGACTCAATCTCGGTAAATTGCCGCCAATCAGCCCTGAGGAAGTTAATGAATGTCTTTTTCGGAAAAAAGTGTATGCTGTTATCTAGAGGTAGTTCGATAAGTATAGGGAGCTGGTCGGAGCCTAGAGAATTAATTGGGGTCCAGGACGCAGAAAGTAAAAGGCTCTACGATGCTAGGGAGATAACAGGGGAGGAGAATTGTGCATCAGAGGATAAAGAATTAAAAGGTACTCTAGTTTGGGTATCATCATTTAGGGAGGCGTAAGTGGGTTCAGTTATTTCATTTGAGAGCACTTGACCACGTTGATCTTCTTCTTAATCTGAATTCCAGAGGGAAGAGTGGGCGTTTGCATCCCCGAGTACAAGAGCGTCGCCAAGAGAGTAAGGAACGCAGTATAACTGGGGGGACAACTAGATCTAGGGGGGATACGAAAATTACTAGGAAGTTTCGACTTACTGGCTACAACTGATATACACATAGCCTCTAGTGTTCCGTCGACATTTAAATGTACTTTTTCGTATTGTACGGATTCATCTATTGCTATGAGGAGACATCCACCCTCTTTGGGCCTGTATTTTCGAAATAGAGTGTATAAGGGACCTAGTGAGGGGTTACGGCTTACAAACGACGCATATTTAGATGGCTGAGCCGATATAACGAACACCGATGAAACCTTTAAAAGAAGGAAAATTTATTTACTCGTTTTGGCAAATTTACAACAGAATTTAAAAAAGTATTTTGATCAAAACGGATATTTAATTGCAAAATTGTAAGAAATTTTTCTCTAGGTGTAAATCTTTTGACTGGTTTGGGATCTCAGAGGAAATGAGTCATTTGAGCAAAGTTTCTAACGCAAGTGTATAAAAAAGAAACGGTTTGAAAAAAATTTTTGAATTGAAAAACGTCAGGACTAACCCCCCCCCCCCCCCCCCCATATAGCTCAAAAACTTTTATCTGTTGTCACATGGTGCATGTTCGCCACAAACTTCCGCTTGTATTAGAGTTCAAAAAACCGTCAAAATCAAAAACTTGGATTGAATTTCAAATAAAAACCCGCTAGGTCTTATTTATTAATAAAAAACCAATTCGGACAATGACCGTATCAGTTACTTGAAAGTTATTTTTAATAGTTTCTAATAAACTAAATATACTAATTACTAAGATCATTTAAAATCAAATATAACAACATGTCAGTCCCTGAGGCGGACCTTTTTTTGATTATTTAACTATTTAAGGAACATCACACCAACATTATTTGGGATAACTGCTCAAAATTTTCTAGCTTCCCTGTTTACATTGGTTTTGTCCTTAAGTAGGACATATCTCACTTTGGAACTTAAAGCTTAAAAACATTCTATATGCTGCATATATTTCCTCCTTTCAAATTGAAAAGAAAAGACTTGTCGACAGAAAAGGAAAATCGAGCATGCAATCTAGCGCAACCCTGCGAAACTCCAGATGCTGTAAATCAAAATTATTTCTGATAATTACAAACAAGGCTTAGCTGATATTTTATAAGTTTTTTCTTCTAAACAAAAGTGAATAATCAAATAATCTTTAGCGAAGTCCAAACATTGGACTCTGTAAGCTAGTAAGCATATCCTTGCTTATTTTGATTATTCTTTCATTTAACGTCTTTTTTGAGAGCGCGGCCATTCAATCAATCCAAATCTTTAAGTGCCCAAATAATCATAAGAAATTGAAATAGACTAGCCGATTTGTCCCATTGAAGTGACTATTTAATTCGACTAGCAATTTTTCAACCGGTATTTCAGTGCGCAAGGGGAATAAACGAATAAAAGTAAAGTATATGAGTGATCAATTTCGAAAATTTGAAATTACTAGATCCTACTGAGGTCCAAATAAAATTGAATTCAAATCTAAATTCATTTTGGTCTCATTTGAAACATTGATTTAGCTTTGAATTGTAATAGCAATTGACTTTTTTTATCAGGATCCTTCATATCTCTGAATAGTTGTCATTTGATCTGAGACGCATATGCTTCTTTGCGTTGCATTGATATGTTTCTAATGATGCATGGACATCATCATTTGCGGGTCATTCGGGAGAGACGTTCTTTATAACCGTAATCAGTGACCGCTGCTTCTCTCTTTCGCAGTCCCTGAAAGTCAGTAGTCGGTCCAAGTGCACCAAAGAAACCTGTATTTGCAGGATCTCCAAGCTCACGTATAGCATTCCCAACTCCAATATTTCCTAGCTGTGGTTCCACGTCATTCTTGAAACTCGGGCTCAGAATTTTCGAATCTTGCAAATGATGATCGGAGAGTTGGGAATTTTGCCTACTTGCGAGTCCAGTCAGGCCGTGAACAACTTTCACAAACTCTTTCATCAGTTCCGTTTTGGTCTTGGTCGGCGCCTGTTTAAGTACTCGCTGCTGCTCCTGGTTATTTTTTGAGGATGTCGGTTCATCGTACTCATAGGATTGGAATTTGGCTCTAGGATGACGGAAGATGATGTCTCGAAATGATTTTTTCAACAACGGAGACAATGGGGAAATAGATGACTTTGGTTTGGCTCCAAATTCAACTTCCGGTGAAGAATACACTGAAAACAAAAACTCTGTAAGCTTTTGAAATGACAACTAAAACAGAGTCTGTCCCTTAAGAAAAAATTGAATCATATTTAAGCATAAATAGAACGCAAATTACAAATTGAGTTGAGATAAGACTATTTAATAATCAACAAAAACAACGGAAAAAAATTTCAAAAAATGAAAAATATTATCAAGGCTTGACTTTCCTTCTTGGCGTAATTTCAGGAATATTTTCCTTGTCAGAGGAAAAATTTGAGATAAAACTGAAATTAGATTCGAAAAACTCTTCTACATTTTTTGACTGAAATTGAAGAAACATATTCTTTAAATGGAGCTCTTCAGAAAAAAAGTCAAGAGAGTAATGCATCGCATTCCCCCACCCGCCTCATTAAATTATAGATGACAGCACGAGGTTTCAGTTTAAATTACTTATCAGACGCTATTCGGATAATAAAAAAATTTTTTGACAAATTTATAATTTCGGCAATTTTCAAACAGAATTTTGAGCAAATATAACACAGCTAAGGCTTGAAACTTTCTGTGCTTATTTACAAAATTACAGAGAACGTTATACTGAATTTTGACTTTTGATTGAACCCCATTAGAAAAAACAAACCATTTTGAAGTGCTGTATTCAGTTGAAGAAACTGTTTTGTTCGTAAATCACGTGACTGCATATAATCTGAGTACCATTTCGGAATATAAATGGCCGATACCATGGTGAAATTTGGTAAACTAAAGAATGCAATGTAAACTATAAGCAAAAACGGTTTCACGACGGACATTTTTGATTTCCTGGATTCAGAATAGTCTAAGCAAGAAAAAACTGGAGGCGATTCATTCGAGGCATTTGATTTCAGGTTTTTGTTTCGAGCCATGTCAGTAAAAAAATAGCTGAAAAAACCAAAGTAACAAACATTTTAGAATTTAGTGCAGAGGCGCAGATCTCAGTGCGATTGCCCGAATAAATAATATCAAGTTCCTAAATACTGTTTAAAACTGAAACTTCCAAAAGAGAGGTTGACAAGGCGCTCTTTTTTAACCAATAGGAGATGAGAAAAAAGAATAAACACTTTATAGCAACTTTGCCCCAATGGCCTTTTTAGGCAGTCATTAAAATAACCATTAACAAGTACCTAAGGGTTAAAAAGACGAAAAAACGCCAACAAACCTTACAAACATAATTTAACTAATTAAAATTGCACTTACACTTTCACTGAGATCGTTTAAGTGCTTATCAAAAAAAATAATCACGGGCCAACCGCTTAAAATAATGACATTTACACGCATATAAGCAAACGCTTCATAGAAAAAAAACTATCAGGTTTAAACTTATGCACTACATTTCTTTGGTCGCCACAAACTTTAATTTTGATTTCCTACGATTAGAAAAGGTTATTTCCATGATTCATTATTTAGAAAGTAGTTTCTTTTGAATATTTTTCCACAATGAAAGGCAAGTTTTCTACTTTTCATTTGTACACTACCGTTTGTACACTAATGCATTAGTTACTCGCCTTTTATTGTTTAAAAATCTGTCTAAAGTCGAGTAAACCTAAATAAACAACAAAAAGAAATTATTCAAAATTTCATTTTATTTATTTGCTTAGCACATATTACCACACGAAATCCACAACTAAGTTCACAAATCTACAAGAATGATACTTTGCGATATCAATGAAGCAATTAAAGAAACTAGTATAAATTTATAAATCCTATATTTCAATGTGAGAAAAACATCGAGGCGACGCTGTACCTTGCAAAGAATAGGCAACGGAGCTTTACAAAAATACAACAAGGATAGCCGGTTACTGTGCAAGTAGCACAAAATGTTCCGACCATAGTCTTTAAAAAATTACACACAAAAAAAGTTTTTGAAAAAAATTTTGAACATAGCCAACTGACATTTGGAAAAGAATTTTTAACGCAAGAAAACAAAAAAAAAACGCTGCACTGACTTTTCTTGAAAAATCTCAACTTTCGAATTTCAAAGAAAAAAGATAGATGCCCTTTATGCTCTTTTAATTTCTAGAACAATTGATCATTGGCGCTTTTTTGATAACATTTCCCCAACTTGAGAAAACCTGACCAAGAGTTAAGGTTTTTATAGCACATCTGAAGTTATTAGAGCATTATAAGACTTTTAACTTTAAAAAAAAATAATCACCAAGACCTATATACGAGTCTTCACTACGTTCATTACTCTTAATTAGTGACGTTTTTTCTGCGTGGTGTGATCAAAGAATCTGACGTAAAACTTTAATGTAGGCATATTCGACAGTCAATGTAATATATGCAAACCGGACAACAGGATTTTTTTTTAAATGACAAGAAAAACAAATAAAAAACATTAAAAAAAATTGAATGTTTTAAAAAATGTTTTCAACTTTTGATTACCCAAATCGCTTTACTATCTCGAATTCAGACGAAAATTCAAGAATTTCAAACCGGTTTTTCTCGAAAATGAGAAAAAATTTTGAAATTTTTTAAATGTCCTTCGAATCACGACTGAAAGGGCTTTAATATCATAGATCACTCCCATCTCTCCGATGACTAATTGTGATAGCTGTTTTAACACGGAAAACATAAAAAAACTAACACACCCAATACAACGTTCCTCTCATTCTTCAAATGGTCAGAACAATAAGCACTAAACTGTTCAAGAAAACAGGCTTTGGAATGGTTAAGTCGAAATGGGATTCGAAATAAGGACCTCCTGGTTATAAGGCATTCGATTCAGGGTATAAAAATCATAAGGGCAAACCCACCTCATAATTGGAACGTCATGGCACTATTCATCGCAAAGCATATTCACCTGACAGTTGAAATCAAAGAAAAAAACTAAGGACAAAAATGAGTCCACCTCAACCAAAAAAAGATCCAAAACCATTAAAAATTTAAATTTCTGCAAATGTGCAACACCTAACAACCGACAAAAACCTCTTCGAAATTCACAAAACTATATAAATAACACTTCTCATACAAAAAAAAAACATTTCTCACAGTGGCGAAGCGGAGCTTCGCACCACTTGCGATACAACACAATCATAAAAAAACATAAGTCGAAAAAAAAGATAAAGGTTGAAAAAGAACAAGGTGAACCAACATTTTCGTATGTCTCGATGAAGGACACGTAGGGCCCAGCTAAAACTGGATGCACGAGCCTGATAACTTTTGAAATTGTTGTACTGATTCGGAACGAAAAGCGTAATTTCAAAACTTGAACTTTGCCCAAAACCTTAGTTGTATCTCTAAAAAAGTGAGAGGAGTGAAATTTTTATAAGATTTTGTAATTTTTCCAGCGATTAAAATTCCAAAAAATTAAAAAGTAAACTTTTCTGCAGGAAAATTTGCGCAACCGCTAACCCCGATTGAAACTTTCATTCTTAAAGTTCAAAAACTTGACCTTCCGAAATCCGTAAAGTTTTTCTGCTAAAAGCAAGTCGTGGCCGGTTAAGTAGAGAAGATTCCCAAAAGCGGTTCCGCGATTGAAAACTTAGCCTGAGAAATGGCAAGGTAATTCTCGGGTAGAAAAAAAAACGTCCAAAAACAGTCAAAGTTTTACACTTTCACTTATTTGAAGGCCATAATTTTTTTCTAAAAAGAAATCTGAGTAGCAAATTGTTACGCTGAGCTTCCAACCACCTGCGGTGTCTATTAAACCTATGATATCAGATTTGGCATCGTGGTTATCGAGAAAAGTACAAAAAACGGCCAAAAAATCTAGAAGTTGACATTTCCGAGAATCATAGCTTTTTGTTTAAATAAATTGAGCGTAGCCATTTATGCAGAAGAAATTCATGAAAAACATTGAGCCGAAAAAAAAACAGAAAACGAAAAACTGAACTTATATTTTAAAAAAATCAGAGCTGGTAATTTACAAACAAACAAATTCGACGAGACAAAGCTGAACAACACAAAGACCAGCAAGAAAACGACTAAAGCTCTGGAAAAGTAAAAAAAAAAAGAAGAAAAAGTGGGCTAAACTCATAAAAGTTTTGCTAAATTATGAAGAAAAGAATCCCGGTCTCGAGAATAAAAGTCACAAGTCCTAGCAATCTTCAACACGGAGGCAAAGCAGCGCTTCGCAAATACTTGCGATAACACGACCAAAAAGCAGCTATCAAGTGAAATAAGAAAAAGTAGCAATAAGCCTCGAATTAGCGAAAACTCGGCTACGTGTAGGATTCTAATCTGCGACCTACTGCAATCCAAGGGTTTTTACTCTCATGCACTATACACTCAGCCACGCAAGCTTAACAACCGACAAGCAAAAGTCACAAATAAAGCAGCTACATATGCTAATAAATTGCCAAAGCCATTCAGCAAAAGTGGCACCAAATACAAATAGACACAATTTTGCAAGTAAAAACTCGGGATGTAATAAACTGAAGGCATCCACGCTTTGTATGCAACAAATCGCAAAAGATAAGCCACCTTATGTATAAATTATGCGTTTCAAAAATTGGGAGATAGTGAGTTGGAAAGTTTCTGAAATCGAGTTTTTATTTTTGTTATGTAGTTTGAAACAAATCACTTTTTTCGGTTCATTTGATGAATTAAAAAAGAATAAACTGTTAACTTATTACTATTCGAATGTCAAAGCTTATGCTATGAAAAAGCTGTAAAGCTGTCCAAAAATTGGCTCCAATATTTGCGACTTACGTTGGAAGAAAAAAGAAGGTTCGTACTAATAAAGTCGCTTCGCAATTGTAAAAACAAGCCACCAATAAACCCGATACAAACATATAATGCGAATGCAGCAAAGTAAACCAGATATGATGCCTTTGCTGTGAAAGTGCCACTAAATGAGAACTTTTAATTGCAACTTGCAATGGAAAAAGTAGACTTCATAATATAATGCTACGCTGCGCATGTGTAAATAAAACGGGTATTTAAAATACCATTATGCTCAAAATGTGTCTGCTGGTTGCCGGAAGTAAAGATCTGGAGATGTCCACCAACTCCAACAAGTTATCATGCGAACAAAGTTATTTACGTAAAAGTCTAGTACTGGGCAATACCCTCACTCATCGCAAGGGTAATGCTCAATAACATAGCACCATAATAAACTGAGAAAATGCTCAAGTGTGGTATGTGCCGACATCGCTTCTGACTCTCGAGAACGGGCAACCCCTCGTGCGATAAGGACCGAATACGCCAAAAAATTTCAACCAATCAGAGCTCAAAACTCGAAAGAAATAAGCAATAAATTCAGACAGTTTCAAGCGTTTTTTTTTGTTCAGAATTTCGGTCTTTGGCGCATGATAATTGTCCCTGTCGAGAAAGCCACATCTGAAATTTTGCTGCACAGACTTAATGATGACTAGAGGATTGGATTTATCCATCTCTGATTTTATAATTGCTATGATTTAATGAATCTATTTTCGTACTTGTGATTGTTTTTTTGTTTTACACACAGGCAAAGTTGCACTTTGCATACACAAGCAAAGATATGCCCGACAACGGTACTGCGAAAAACTGAATGAGTAAAACTTCGCGTCTACAAAATTTCTTAAACGCACGCCAATTATGAGTCTATATAATTGCTAAGTGACGCAAGCCTATTATGACGCATTAGCAGTACCAATCAATTTGAGAAAAAAAAAGAAATCTACCCAACTAACATGCCTCAACTTATAGAACGGACGCATTTTAACTAGTATACGAAAAAGTTAATTAAAAACATCCAACCCTGCCCAGGTTCGAACCCTCTTATTTTGTTGCGGGTCTCCTTTCCTACCTCTACGCTACAGATCCATGATACCTTGAAGCTAAAGTGCTAATTATATATAATAGTCATTGTTAATATCCTTAGCATTCGCTGTACTTAATGATCGCTGGTTATTAGCATTAGCTGGTTATTGATCGTATACACAACTGCAATAAAAGATCACTTCCATAATGAACTCTTTTATTTGCTACTTAGGTTGGAAAAAAAAGAGTTCATACTATCACACAAGCTTTGCTTGTGTAAATATCCATTAAGTATCCAATGAACGCCCGAAAAACTACAAGAACACAAAAAGTCTGGATTCGCCTTTTAAATAGCTTTTTAGCGATAACTCCAGTAGCAGGAACATGAACATTCCTGTCAATTAGAACGTGAACTTCAAATCTACTCTTCTCTATCATATATCTGGTCTGCTTCTCACCGCGTATTGTTGGTTCGAAATTATAGCTTGACATTTAAGAGAATATAATTACTTCTAATATGACTTCAAACTCATTAAAAAATCCTTTTATCGGCAAAAATACTCGCCTCAATTTAAATATAGAAATTAATGCAGTTGTAAATTAGATTAAAAATTTAGATTTCTTCTACTCCTCGGGGGAATGGCGGCGTCGGTCTTCTCATAACTTGCCCATTGTTTTCGAATAATTATTTTGTTTTCTATTCAGAGATTTATTTAATGGTGCCAAAAAAAGCCACCTACGGCATCAAATCTTCAAGTTCTTTCGATTCAGGGCACAGCAGTTAGTAGGCCTTTCCGTCAGCCTTTCCAACGCTAATAAATTTTTCCATCTGAACTCCCGAATTGACAACTAATCATCTCTTTACAAAAAGAATGTAATCAAAAATGCATGCAAATTTTTCATTACCTGACTCTCTAGTGGTTCCGCCGAGTAGGATAACAATCTTCGAGTTTGGAGGAGATAATATATCACTGCGTCCCAGATACTAACAACGCTGTCTACGCTTCGAGTTCCAGCCATCACTCCTTAAAATGTGATGAAACTTTATCAAAAAGGTCTGGCACTAATTCTCCCGTAATAAAATCCACTTGCACATTTAATCATGCGCGATTTAGTCAGCCGTCCTTATCGAGACAACGGATACATATCATTGCTGTTCTAACCCGAACACCAAAAATCGGATTCGGATGTTTTTTTTTCAAGCAGGACCACCACTAAGACCAATTTTACAGTATAATCAGCGAAATCGACAGTTTATTCTTTAGAAAATGTTATATTTTTCGTTTGCAATTTTTTCCATTGATTTTTCAACATAGAAAGAAAGAAAGAATTTATTTCTCTAGTCAGCATTAAATACAACATTGAATATATTTATAATTTAAGTTAAATGATGCGACTTAGAGAGGATAGACAACGGGACCTAAAGGTCCTCCAGGGTCTACCCTTAAGTTGTTCAAACATAACGATTTAACACTAATATTTAATGAAAAAAAAAAAAAACGAAATTTGAAAAAAAAAAAAAAAAAAAAAAAAAAAAAAAAAAGTTTTGAAGTAGGTTTTCTTCCGTAAGTTAAGATTTTTTGTTGGCGTTACTGAAAGAGCCCATCAACTTTAACTTAAGACAACCAGGTTCACGGTCGCAGGTGAGTTTTAAAATAATTTTTAAGAAAAATAATTTTTTTCTTTTTTCTCTTCTTTTCCCCTTCTCCTTTCCTTTTCTTTTCTTTTTTTTTTTTTTTTTACTAAGTGTTTAATATTTTTCGAAAAATCGTAAAAATGGCCATATCTCCTGAACTACAAGGATTTAGAGCTTCATATTTTAGCACGAGAATCGGAAGCTAGAGCAGTTGCCTGGTAGCATTTAACCAACGATAATCATTTTAAAGAAAAAAGGAAAAAGGGAAAAAGTACTACAAATCGTAGATAAGTTTTGTTAGTTCGTCGTTTTGCAACAAAAATGTATTTTTGAAATTATGGTAAAACACTTTTACTTTTGTCTCAGAAAAACTTTCAATATTTTCAGGAATTATATTTTGCAGTCTCAATAAGTTAAAAAGCTTGCAAGCACGATATCGGATAGAAAAACGTTCAAATCTTTTCTTGCAAAGAGGTTCTAATAGTAAATTGTATTTTGAGTTTCTTGTTTGTCTCTGCCGATTATTAAAAACAAACAAATTGTTAAGGAAACTCTCTGAATGAAAGGAATTAATTGAGCGCAGAACAAATTTGAGCAATTCGTATACATGCAATTCGAAAACCGATAGAAAATTGTATTTAAGAAAAATGTCATTACAGGAGTACATTTTCTTTCGAAAGAACATAAATTTAATTATTTTCTTTTGTAAAAGAAATAAACACTCCAGTGAACTTCGACTGCAGCAACCGTAAATCAGAATTCCGTATTGTATTATAGGAACAACATTACTTCTGTAGTATTCTAGTAATTGTGAAAGCGGCACGTAATGCCTCAGTTTTGATATAATACCACATTGTTTACCGAGTCTCATTTTAACATTATTAATATGAGTTTGATAAGATAACTTACAATCTATATAAATTCCTAGATATTTGCATACGGGTTTTAGTATAATGTTAGAAGAATTAAGCTTGAAGCGATAATTGGAAGCACTTTTTATATTCATTTGATTTGTTTTATCACTATTAACTATTAACTTGTTGGCGAGAAGCCAACGATCCAGCTTGCCAATATCTTCTCTAATTTGAGTTATTTGGCAACCAATTGCCGTCAGGTTGGTGTCATCTGCAAATAGTGTTACTTCAACTGATTTGCATGCTGATGGAAGGTCATTTACGTAAATTAGGAAAAGCAAAGGTCCCAGTATCGAGCCTTGAGGAACACCGCATGTTATTTTCTTCCAATCAGAGAATTGTCCATTTACTAACACTCGTTGAGTCCGTTCAAATAAGTAGGTCTGAAACCACCGGTTACAATTTCCTCTTATACCATAAGATTCCAGTTTATTTAGTAGTATTTGATGATCGAGAGTATCAAAGGCTTTCCTAAGATCCAAGAAAAAACTATAAATTTCATTTGTATGACTTCTCATTCTTAGATTTTCTGTCAATTCAGCTACTGCATCTATTGTACTATGTTTGGTTCTAAAGCCGAATTGTTTGTTGTATAAAAGGGATAAATTTTCAAAGTAAGAATATAATCTGTTGTGCATGGTTGGAATACTCTACGCTTCCTGGTTTAAATCAACCGTTCTTTATTACATAGTTAGTAAGTTAACACATGTATAAATAAGGTTTCAAAACACCATGTCAAAGAATTCATTCATTACTATCCTCCTTAGTTTTGAAGGAATATTTAAGTTAATTATTTTTCCAATTAATTTTTTGTTCGGTAAATTTTAAATCTGTTCCTTCCCTAAACTTTTTTCTGGCATAAGCCTTTCAATCTCGTCATCCTTATTACAGGATTAAATGCTAAATGATAGAAGAAGATTCAAGTAATGTATTTGTGTATAAATCTGAGAGAATCTAACTACATTGCTTGCATAGATGTTACAAAAACGATAAATTATAGTCACATTCAATTCATTCTGATTGCAACGGCTCCGGGTGTTTTAACTTTTTCGGCCCAAACTTTATTATAACTCAAGAAGATAACAATTAGAAGAAAAAAAACAATTTCTAACAAGAAAACATAATTGGACATATTGGCATCAAATTGGTTGAAATCTAGCGTATTTCTACGTACAGTATTAACTTCGCTTGTCTTTACCGATATGCCACTATTTCGAGTTTGGGTCGAAAAAGTAACCCTGGCGGCCAGGGGCGGATCTAGGATTTTCTCGAGGGGGGGCGGATATTCAAAAAATTTCTCGAAGGGGGGGGGGCAAAATTACAAAAATTTTGTTGACTTTTTTTCGACTAAATTGATTTTCTGAGCTCTCCCAAAGCACTACAAATACCGTATTTTGGCCGAAATTTCTGCGATGCAGGCAAAATTTTGAAAAAACAGGCCAAAAAAGGCGTTTACCAAAAAATGCGTTTTTTCGGCGCGCGCTCCCCCCTCAAAATTAGTATATATTGGCACCCAAGGCGTAATAAACAATTTTTAGGGTCCATCACCAAAAAGGGGATACTAGAAAAAAGTATAAGGCCCCCCCCCGCCCCTGCTGGCGGCAACTTATTTGGCCGCCGGTCAGGTCTAATTAAAATTAAAGGCAGTTTGAACACAGTAATAAATGGCTCATATTCTTTACTATTTATGCATCAACCATAAGCAAATCTTATTCTTGCTAATTCAATTGCAAATCAATAAGTGATGAGAAATCAAATGGGTTTCAGTGCTGAAAAAATCGCTCAAAAACAGCCGTAACAAAACCAATAAAATTAGATTTCTGGATACTTTGAGCCAATTTGAATTATTTCGTGAAAATTCGCGCGTTCACAGCAAAAAAATTGCCGAATTGGCAGAGAAAAGCATCAAATGTTAAGCTGCTACAATAGCATGAAAGCACATAGGTATTTAAAAAAGTTCATTGCTCTGAAGTAGAAAAAATCAGCTCTCTAAAAACGCTTGATCCATGAACATAATCACGGGCTATGAAAAAAAAACTTATGGATCTGCAAAAATATTCCACGCATGCACATAATTAACAGAAGTTTTCGATCACGAACAAATTTCACTTACAAAGATTGATAGAAAACTAAAAGGCAATCCTCAATATATCCAACAGACAAACTACAGAATGAATTCGATACAAACAAACAAAAGCGCCGACAAGGTGAACAAACAAGCACCACTTAATCGAGCCCAAAAACTGAACTTGCTGCCAATTAATAACCGAACTATTAGTCATTTCATACATTTCTGCGATTGCTAGTGCTAGGTTGACAAATAGAAATAAAATAACGAAGACACGACTTGAAGACGTCCGTTCGGCCCACGAAAGGTCATCGTCATCGTCGCCACTACTGTTGTCGTTCCCATTACTGGATGTCACTACTTGTCGTTTCATTGCGTCCGACAAGTATATACTCTGCAACACGACTTCAATAGTTCTGAAAACATTCAGCGAAAATAGACATGCAGCTATAAGGTGGACTTCAAACTGAGCACTTGAGGAGTCATATTTGTTCTGGTCAGATTCGCTGTTTTTCTCGCCATCTGTTTCTGCTAAAGATTCTCCGTTTATTAAAATAAACAAGGCCCACATGGCATTAAATACCGAGTACGTGAGTGTAGCTAACGAAGTGACCGCTATAACTGGTTGACTCATCCAATTGATCACCCCTTTTGACCTTTTTGGGTGACCTTTTATAATACACGTTGCCAATGGAAGCATGAATCCGAGAACCGCAAGACATACGACACACACCACTACGTGGTAGAAAAGAACAAAGCTGTGATTCGGAACGTCGGTTTGTGCCAAAACTTGGTCGATAACTACAGTTCCGACACAAGAGAACAAAGCAACAAAGCCGATTCCAAATCCGCACAACACTTCACAGATCTTGAAGTTACACGTGAATAGCCGTTTGTTCTCATCTCGCGGCACCCAAGAATCGTAATTTTGCTGAGCTAACTTCTTCCTAATTGACGAAGTCTTTTTACCACAATTTGTCCACATTTTACTGAGTAAACTTGTCGAGTACAGCAGAAAAGATGACAAAAAGCAGAAAAATAAGAACGAAAATCGTTCTTCGAACTGCGAAATTGCATTTAGAGATCTCCTGAAGCAATCGCCTGTTATCCTTCTTCCGTTAATCAAAAGTTCTTTGTCAATTCCTGCATCGGAGATGTCCATTTGAGATACTATTAAGATATTAATTAAAGGGGGAAAAATTTTGAGAATAGAAAAACAAGTGTTATCCACCACCAAATATTTTAGAAGCGTCATTTAAACGAAAATTATTGAATTTCAGATTAATAGATTGACCAGGAATTATCTAGCCGTAAGTGAAAAAAATTAGTTGACAATATCATCACCAAAACCGTCAAAACCCAATGGGCGCCACTATTTCATCACTTTAGTACAAAAAATTACTATTATCTGATGACGCTGAATAATTAAATTTCAAGGATAGTAAATATTAATGGAAAAATGCGCCTGAATAAACGCGTTTCCTACACGAACCTAAAAATGTTTTTTATGTCCAGAGAAATTTTCTCTTTCAATACAATATTCTCTTTCTACCTTTTATTATCAACCTATAAACACCCCCGAATAATTTACAAAAAACAGCCCCCACCCATCACCACTTATGCAAAGATGTTTTTGAATTCAACTCTTAGAAGTTAATTTGATCTTATGGACATCAATGATCATGCCTGGCTGTGAGAACTCCAAGGACTCCAGAGTCTCTTTGGAGAGCGAGAGGATCCAGTAGAAAGCATTGGCAGCTATGGCATGACTAATAGACATGCGTGCTAGTCCTGAGAGCGATACAATGTAGTCTTTTGAGAAGAACACTGTTAGCATCAGCTGGGAAGAGAGGAAGAGGATTTGGAGCACGAGCACAACTAGACGCAGAATTGTGAAGCAGGACACGCTAAAACAAAACAAAAAGACAGATAAAAACCCTTTTTGTCCCATGTGAACAACTTACTCCGTGAAACAACCAGTGCAAATAACTTTACCCTCAGCTGAATTTACAAAAAAATCGTTAGATCCTACCCAATCCTACCCTTGCAGTGGGTATAAGCTGTAATCACTTAGACAGTCAGTCAACATGAAAATGCGCTACTCTGATTGGCAGAAAATTATTGCCTTTAACCTAAAGAACTATATCCTCCCTCAACTGAATTATAGGGGATGTTTACAACTTGGTCCCTCTTAATTACTTTGCACTCAGATGAAATTTTGGATCAAACGTATAATCCCTCCCATCAAAGATTGAGGGGAATAAAAAAACGGTTTTTCAGAAAATGACTTCGAGGGCAAAACAAATTGATCTTATTAGTCCCAAAATCAATCGATACCAAGTTATGATTAATGTTTTACGCTATTAATTTGAGATAAAATAGCTATTCGGTATGAAAAATCTCCAGCAGTACGTTCAGTGCGCTTGTTTCGAATGAATATTTTATGCAGATCTAATTTTCAAGCTATTGCATCACACTCTCTCATTATTACATCAAACCCAAGGATAACCGGTTGCTGTGCAAGTAGCGCAGAAAGTTCCGACGACAAAAAAAACTTTATTGCGAATTGTTTGTTTTTGATTTAATCGGCAATGAGCTGATTTGAATGAAAGCCTATAAAGTAAACACATTCGATAGTGAGAAGAATCGATTTATTGAAAACAGTTTTCATCAGAAAGTTAATCGAAAAACAAAGAAAAACTAGTTTTTTTTTAACTTGCAGAATTTTTTTTTTGGTTTTTAAGGATTTTTGTTTTAAAGAAGGAATTATGAGACGATTCAAAAAAGTATAATCCTGGGATAAAACTCAACTTTAACGTCTTATTTTCGTATAATAGACCTAAACTCTCGCTTCATTTGCTCGAAACTGGACCAAAAATAAAAACCGAAACCTGTCTTTCTCTACACTGAGGAACTTTTTATCGAAGCTTTTAAAAAAAGTTTGAATCAAGCCTGCGAGGACGTTCAAATGATACGATGATTATATGTGGCATCTAATTTTGTGGAAACAAGAAAAATAAAACAAGGAAAGCCGGTTGCTGTGCACGTAGCACAGAATATTCCGACCATATTCTTGAAAAAACCTCAAAAAAAGCTTTTTTTTTCAAACTAATGTCGTTGTTTATGCGTGGTGTGATAAAAAAATCTGGTCAAAAAGCCTGAAGCTTAGGCAAGATGAACGAAAGTTCGGTCGAAAAATGACTAGAAGACCAAAAAGTCAAAAAATATCAAAAAAAATTTTTTTAAATTTTTCTACAGAACTTTTCGCTCGCTTTTTTTGCTTTAAACTAGTCTAAACATCAAAATCTTCTAACCGAGGCAATGAAACATTTACTGAAAATTTTTTAATGTCCTTCTTATCACGACTGAAAGGGTTTTAATAAGATATATCACTCCATCCTTTCTGATAATTAATTGTTGTACCTGATTTTGCGTGGCAAAAAAAAAAACTAAAGCACGCCCTATTACAAAAATCCTCCGCATTTTCAACGGACGCAACAAAAACTAAAACATTCTTGAATACAAAGTTGATCCCCGTGGTCGGAACAACAAGGCAGCCGGTCGCTGAGCAACCAAGTATTGACTGCTCTGATCACAGTTATAAGTGAAAAAAAAAAACAGGTTAAAATTGAAAAAAAAAAAAAAAACGCTCCGCTCTTAGTTAAACCAATTTCTTTTCACTGCCAAATCGCGCCTGATAAGACTATTATAGGACACCTTAAAACTGACAGGAAAAAAACGTAGGTTGTCGCTTGTCAACTTACTCTACATCTGCAGTGAACTGCTCTGCAATCGATACTACCAAATGGATAAACGCAACAACAAAGAACAACACCAGAGCAGCCTTGGAGTAAAATGATCCGTTCGATTCATCACGTAGCAGCCCCCCGTTTGACCCGTCCCCATTATTACTCCCCGAGTAGAGCAGCTGCGTTTGCTGATCGCCCATCATTTGCTGATTCATTGCAGCTGTTGTTTTTCTGATGAAAAAATTGACCACACAAAGATACAAACAAGCTACAAAGCCGAATCCAAACATGTAAACAGCGAAAATATCTATGTACAAATCGCGCATTCCAGACGCCGAAAAGAACTTTGCGAATAGCAACACCAGACCAATGAGGGCAAAGAGCATAGCATAGAGAAAAGAGACAGATTTTGAAGCGGGTGGTGCGTTCGAGGAGTTGTGAGTGAGCCAGGGTGGGTGATTCAGCCCCAGGGGTCCAGTGCCGGTTCCACTCAACGAAGGAATCACAGATCCACTTGCCACAGATAACGCTGTCGTTGAGTTCATCACAGCAGGTCTCCGCTCTTCTCCAGTTTCACTTAGGGTTCCCATAGACCTCATCGGGATCGATTCCAACTGTTGCGAGGACATCGCGGTTCCATAAATGCCTCCGGCGCCTCCCAAACTTCCCTCCTGCGAAGCGTCCCACTTTTGCTGCTGGACACCGACCGAAAGTGGAAACATACCGCCTCTGTGCGTGCCACTAGGGGGTGGTATACTCGCGTTAGATGACTGTATCTGATGAATTGGACTGCCTTGATAAGGGTTACCCTGCTGCATTTCAGAAGATATCTCACTACCGAATCTATTTCTAATCGGTACTGAAGTCATGGTATTTTCGGCTGTCTGACCCGAGTTATTGGAGTCGAGAGTTCCCATTGGCCTAGATAGTGATCCAGAGGGACTGTTTGTGTTAGCGTTCATAAAATGATTACTCATTAGGGTAGGGTTTTTCGGACCCATTGCCATTGAGGGCGGCGGATAAGTTCCTTTCGGCAAGGTTCCCGCCATGATTTAACACACTAATTCTGCTTGTCTTCTTTGTTTTCAGGCCAATCATCCGTTTACATGATAGCACAGCATAACTCAAATCTATTTATTTTATTTCTTGGCTGAGAATTTCCAACGCCACGTAATTTTCACGCAATGCATTTTGTCGCACGCTTCACTTGTCATTCGAGGTCTATAAACAAATATTAATCAAACAACGACCATATTCAACAAACTACAGATAGCCAGTAAACACCTCAACAATGAGGGGTAAGAATAGCTGAAAGGGTAAAACAAAATTGGGATCTCAGTACAATAAGTCTCAATATCGATCAGACCATTTTTTCTCGACATCCAAAAACTTTTTTGGATTTTTGTGAGTTTGACGACCGCTCTTCCCCCCCCCCCCTTTCCCGCCTAAATCCGCCCACTGGTTCCGACACAAATTAGATTGTTCCAGAACAAAACTTAGATGGTTCCGACCACAATTTACGCTTTTCGCTACAGAACAATCTAAATTGTGGTCGGAACCATCTAATTTTTCTTACGAACAATTTAAATTGTGGTCGGAACTATCTAAACTTTCTTACGGAAAAATTTAAATTGTGGTCGGAACCATCTAAATTTTCTTACGGAACAATTTAAATTGTAGTCGGAACTATCTAAATTTTCTTACGAAACAATTAAAATTGTGGTCGGAACCATCTAAATTTTCTTACGGATCATTTTAAATTGTGGTCGGAACCATCTAAATTTTCTTACGGAACAATTTAAATTGTGGTCGGAACTATCAAAATTTTCTTACGGAACAATTTAAATTGTGGTCGGAACCATCTAAATTTTCTTATGGAAGAATTTAAATTGTGTTCGGAACCATCTAAAGTTTCTTAGGGAACAATTTAAAATGTGGTCGGAACCACCTTAAATTTTGTTACGGAACAATCTAAATTGTGGTCGGAACCATCTTAAACTTTGTTACGGAACAATCTAAATTGTGGTCGGAACCATCTTAAATTTTGTTACGGAACAATCTAATTTGTGGTCGGAACCATCTTATATTTCGTTACGGAACAATCTAAATTGTGGTCGGAAACATCTTAAATTTTGTTACGGAACAATCTAAATTGTGGTCGGAAGTATCTTAAATTTTGTTAAGGAACAATCTAAATTGTGGTCGGAAGCATCCTACATTTTGTTACGGAACAATCCAAATTGTGATCGGAACCATCTTAAATTTTGTTACGAAACAATATAAGATGTGGTCGGAAGCATCTTAAATTTTGTTACGGAACAATCTATATTTTGATCGGAAGTATCTTAAATTTTGATACTGAACAATCTAAATTGTGGTCGGAAGCATCTTAAATTTTGTTACTGGACAATCTAAATTGTGGTTGGAACCATCTTAAATTTTGTAACGGAACAATCTAAGATGTGGCCAGAACCATCTTAAATTGTGTTACCGAACAACTTTTGTTACGGAACAATTTAAACTGTGGTCGTAACCACTTCGAATTTTGTTACAGAACAATCTAAATTGTGGTCGGAACCACCTTAAACTTTGTTACGGATCAATTTAAATTGTAGTCGGAACCACGTTAAATTTTGTTCCGGAACAATTTAAATTGTGTTCGAAACCACCGTAACTTTTGTTACGGAACAATTTAAATTGTGGTCGGAACCATCTTAAATTTTGTAACGGATTAATTTAAATTGCAGTCGGAACCACCTCAAATTTTGTTCCGAAACAATTTAAATTGTGGTCGGAACCACCGTAAACTTTGTTACGGAACAATTTAAATTGTGGTCGGAACAATCTAAATTTGGTCAATTTAAATTTTGTTACGGAACAATCTCAACTGTGGTCGGAACCATCTTAAATTTTGTAACGGAACAATCTAAATTGTGGTCGGAACCATCTTAAATTTTGTTACCAAACAATCTAAATTGTGGTCGGAAGCATCTTAAATTTTGTTAGGGAACAATCTGGATTGTGGTCGGAACCATCTTAAATTTTGTTACGGAACAATCTAAATTGTGGTCGGAAGTATTTTAAATTTTGTTACGGAACAATCTAAATTGTGTTCGGAACCACCGTAACTTTTGTTACGGAACAATTTAAATTGTGGTCGAAACTACCTTAAACTTTCTTACGGAACAATTTAAATTGTAGTCGGAACCACCTTAAATTTTGTTCCGGATTTATTTAAATTGTGTTCGGAACCAACTTAAATTTTGTTACGGAACAATTTAAATTTTAGTCGGAACCACCTTAAATTTTGTTCCGGAACAATTTAAATTGTGGTCGGAACCACCGTAACTTTTGTTACGGAACAATTTAAATTGTGGTCGGAACAATCTCAGTTGTGGTCGGAACCACCCTACATTTTGTTTTCGATTTACTGGAACAAACTTTAGTTGGATTTACAGGAACAAATTTAGATTTACCTGGAACAAAATTTAGATAGTTCCGACCAGGGGCGGATCTAGGATTTTCTCGAGGGGGTGCGGATTTTCATAAAAATTTTGACGACCCTTTTTTTTGGACCAAATTGATTTTCCGAGTACTCCTAAAGCAGTAAAAAGACGCTGTTTCGGCCAAATTTTCTGCGCCGCAGGCAAATTTTTGAAAAAAAGTCAAAAAGCCGGTTTTGGGGACTTTTTGGAACATTTTGACAAAAAAATCGCTTTTCTTAGCGCGCGCTCCCCCTCAAAGTTAGTATATATTAGTGCCAAAGGCGCCTTAAGAAAAATTTTAGGGTCGGTCGGCCAAAATTGGATTTCTTAAAAAGTACCAAAGGTGGGACCCTTTGGGTCGGCAGGGAGGTAAATGGACAAATAGCTACACATATGAATAGATAGATAGATAAATAGATGGGTATATATTCGTTTTCTTCTAAGCTTTTGCTTCTGTAAAAATCACAGATTAAAATTTATATTCCTTCCTCTCCAAGACACCAACCATGCCATGCTACCATGCCAAGTCTTACCAATCCATGAGATCTATTCTGTGCTGTGAAACCACTTAAACTTTTGGGGAATAGCGAACTACTTGAAAAGCATCAGAATCATAAGTATTAATCATAGCGATTCAAAGTTCACATTGTTTCCATTTTTTGAAGAAAAAAAATTCCACTTAAAAACTGAACTTCTTGTGGTCAATGACCTTCTTGCATACTCCAACTTACTTTTAAATTTCTGGATGAATCAAACTTGTCAGAGAAAAACGGCCAAAAGATATCTTCAATAGTTGAACCAGTGACACCTTTCAATAAAGTATTTGGAATGATAAGTTCATTAGCACCAGAGATTAAAAAATAACATCACACAACATAATATCTTTACGCATAAATTGCAAGTAACAAGTATTATACAAATTAAAGGCTAAGCGCGGAATTATGTAGTCTACCACAAAAATTAATGGATACTCTTCGACGTCAAAGTTGAACAAAAAAACCTAATTTTAACCAAAATTAGAGCAAAGAAATTATATTCATGAGGTTAACACTCAAGCGTAATCATCAGATTGATTTAAACTAAAATATGAAGGCCGCAGCCCAGCAAATGTTAAATTGTTTTGTGGTAGATCATTACACAAACAGCACTTTAAGCCTACTAAGCCTTTTTACGCAAACCAAGATGAAGTCGAAATGCCTTGAGCTTTTTTCACAGCTAGCTGTTCCGATGTTGTAAAATGAAGAGCGGTCAAAAGGGCATCTAACATACTGTTTCTGCCATCTGAGGCCGAAGTACACAGCAAAAATCGGTGCATCACATTTTTGACGTACTCAATGTTGCTTCCTTCTCTCGACTCACGAAGTTTCAGCATGTTAATACGGCAGTTCAAACTTTCGATTTCTTCTTGATATTTCATTTCTTTCATCATTGAGTTTTCAGTCAAAGACTTCAGCATGTTCTGAGCTTCCACGCGCTCGTTACGTGCTTGTTTTATCTCTGCGTCTTTTCGCGCCATCATTTCCCGAAAGTGCATAGTCATTTGAGGTCCACTACTTGAAGGGCTTGACGCGGCAGCAAAAACCGAATCGTTTAAGGTATCAATACTATCATTACTCCCCGTTTTAACATTCAACTTTTCCATAGGATACGAGCTACCACGATTCTGATGCAAGTCAATTATTTCCTTTTCTTTTTCTGCCAATAAACCACGCATCCGTTCTCGTTGCTTGACCAGTGCTTCTTCCAACTCTTTAAGAGTGTATTTATGCTCATTTTCTCTTTTTTCAGACTCAGAACCATTCTCTTGCTTCAAAACCTTCATTTGCATTTCATACTTTGACCTTGTATTCTTTAATTCATCTTCAAGCTTCGTATTTTTGTCATGCAATGCGTTTAGATCACCTTTTAAGGCCCTTATATTTGCTTTGAGCTTCTCAATTTCAGCGTTTTCACCATCTCTTACTTTGTTTCGCAGCAAATTTTGGGCGCGCGTTTTGTAACGCTCAAATTCTTCTTTCAGTTGTCCTAATTCCGCAACGGTTTTTTCGTAAGAGGACCGGTAAGTACTTTCGTTATTAATATCTTCGTTGAGTTCATCCAAAACACTTAAGCCAGCTTTCGCTCGCGCGACCTTGTATAACTCCTTGTACCTCTGAAGTTCAACTTCAATTGCTTCCACACTCAAATTAGAATCAGTTTGGTTCTTACCCATTGCTTGAGACAACAACGCATTTTCAAGATCCAGCTGCGCAACTCTGTCTTTAAGACTGTTAATCGCATTTATACTCTCAACCCGACCAGATTCATAATGTGATAAAGTATCAGTGAATTGCGACAGTTTCGATTCTAAATTGCATATTCGCTCTTCAGCGTTTTCCTCCACTGACTGTGCGCGCAGTTCCGCCTCTCGTGCTTTTTTCTGTTCTGCCAGAAGCGCCACTTTGTTAGAAGCTCTGACTTCTTGTATTTCTTTTTGCATTTCAGTTATCATTTGTGGCGTCTCGTTTGCTTTATTTTCCGAAGATTTAAGCCTAACGGCTACATCCTCTAGTTCTTTTTCCAGCGACGCTACTTTCGACTGATACTTCAGAGCCTCTGCTTTTAATGCACGTTCGTTTGACAAAGTATTTTCAAGATCAGTTATCCGCGAATGCTGCTTTGAAACCTTATGGCGTTCCTCTGCAAGCAACAATTGTAGCTCTTTCAACATTATTGAACTTGTTTCATTTTGCTCATCCAATGAGAATTGCTGCTCCCTAACTTTTGTTTTCAGTTCTTGGATTTGTTTTTCCAACTTTTCATTTAAGGAATTCATGTCTTCTAATCTATTGCTTAGTTCACTTATACTATTGTCAAATTCTTCTCTCATTGCTTTTTTATCTTTGACGAAGGCTTCTTCAAGGCGTGTTTTTTCTTTCGACAAGAGGTTAAAAGCGTTTGTGAGGGATGCTAGTCTATTAGCATTTGCATCTGGTTCGACCGAGCTGTTTTCTGATGGTTTTGGCGACATCGCTCGATCTGCGATCGAAGACTTTTCCGAGCTTGCTTCACTGGCAGCCGAGCCAGGTCGTTCTTCTGGCAATGCATCTGCTTCCTGATTAGAATTTACAGTTCTAAACAAATTCAGACTTACAAAATCAACATTTTTTTTATCTATGACTTATAGTCTATGCAATTTTGCCCCCATATGAAAAACAGAAAAGAACAAATTAAAATCTATTCATAACTCACTCTTTGTTCGGGCAGCATTTGTCCGCCGTTATTGCACCAGGCGTGGAGCTAATGACCTGCGAAAGAGCATCTCTTTCTTCGCACACCGATCTGTACGCGACAACCAAATCTTTCAATTTCTTCTCATACTTCTGCAATTTCTTCTGAAGAGATGAGACTGCGTCTTCTAATTGGGCAACGTATTCGCTTTGAGAATTACTACTACCCAACACCAGTCCCTTGAACATAATAGCTACCTGAAAAAATGACTTCGCAAGCCAAAACTTTGTTTCAAGTTTCACTGACTAATATTGTTTTTCGGTTAAACTATGACAGAGTGGTACCTTGAGAATAAGACACCTATAGCTCTCAAATCATATAGTAGTTAAAAACTCGCCATTCAGAACGATGTCAAGTATATTTTCAAACAAAGTTTATCTTTCGTTACTTCGTAAACCCCCCCCCCCCCACTCACTATTTTAGAGTAGTAAATTCAAACAAAACGCTAAAACGAGTTTTGATGACAAATAACTTTACCCAATAACGGTTTTTTAAACTAACTTGAGGCGAGCATTTTTCTTGATATTCATTTAAACAATAGTAATTACAATTTTCTATCTATGTTTTCAAATTATTACATGCGAAACGCATGCGGGACCTTTTCTATCACATGTGCTTTTCGAGGGACCACTCTATCATAGTAGTACCTGTTTTTCTGATTCGCAGATATCATTAACTTTCCCGTTAAATTTCACAGAGGCAGAGCTGAGCTTCGCACCACTTGCGATACAAAAATGAAGGACATGAAAAACGGAAACAAAACAAATTTAAAGTCATTAAAAACTGCAAAAAAGCCCAAAACATCCATGTACCATTTAAAACTATACAAGGAGCGTTTGCATGGATAGAAAGAAGTTCAATACTCAAAAAAAGTCCTTTCAGCGGAAGTAAGCCGAAAAAAATGAGATAAAAAATAATCTAAATCTGCCGAAAATTTTCAGTTTGCAAAAAAGAACAGGTCTCGACTGGAGTTAAACAGCCTGACTTTGTGGTCTCAAGCAGTGGTATAACAGCAACTTGGAAGAAAGCTGAACCTTATTTAACATTCGGGCTAGAGGAACTAAGCCGACAAAAATAAACAGACGGACGATAGTTGGAAAAAAACACAAAGATTAGTTAACAAAAAAAAACAGGTCCAAGTCGGTTTCGAACCACAAGCCTTCACCCCAGTTATGTTACCTCTGCATCTGATGCGCCGGATAGTTGATTGAATTTAAATTCATAAAAACCAAGCGGTAAGAAAACCGAAAATACCTGAGCAGAAACCCTTTTCAAGGACGAAAAAAAAGGACGAAAAAAACTTGAAACTGATAAAAAAAATTAATTCCCCTTTCCTTTCAAAACACACAAATGCACAAAAAATTGGGTCCTCAAACGACGCAAAAACAGGCCACTTAGTCGATATTCAGCAACTAATTCGATTAAGACGAAACAACAGACTAAATTTTTAAAAAAAAAATAGCGAATCGAGTCGGTAAAATTACAACGAATGTAGAAATCAAAATTCAATTCAGTCGGATTTTTACAAAACACTAAAAGCAACAACAAAGAAAACTATTTGCAGCAAAAATGAACGATTCTTAGATGTGGCAACAAAACCGACACAAAAAAGCAGACAGCTATTAGGCCGACGATTTTAGTTGAAACAGAAAACGGTGTTAATTGAAAAAAAAAACTGTTCCTTTCCTATTCAATTCCATGCATGACCTGGCCATCCCAGGCGAATTAGTTACCTCTTTGCTAAGTGTGCAGTAGACGACACTAAAAAACTTGAATTCTTTATAAACCAAGGTACCAACAGGAATCCAGGTAAATCCTGTGAACTAAGTTAATAACGGGAAAAAAGTCTAGTACCTGGTTGCAATAGCCTTGCTTATTGCAGAAGGTTAAGAAAATATTGATTTTACACTTGAATTACAGCTAGTTAAATCTAGTATATTTACAAACCCAGTCCATGTTTCATTAAAATGGATTAACACATCATTTGAAGCCATATTCGATTTCACGCGTTCTTCTGCAGATTACAGGATACCTCTGACTCTTCTCTGCTGCTATTCACTGGATCAGTGTCTTTTATAACCGTAAAATCTGTCATCATGATGATAACATAACAGCAGATGCCATTGCTACACAGCAAAAACTGACGTAAGGACTCAATCGCTCGCCAATGCGAGCGAACTTCCAGAAAATACCCAACATTCCTGTTTTGTTTCTATCAATAACTGAAGGCCACAGGGAACGAATATATGTACAGGTGCATATAAGGAAAATAACAACTGTTAGTAAACTCTGAAAGTTGAAGACCGCTGACATCAGTTCTGAAACACATCGGACGGCCCCTTTCTCTTAATGCATCTCAACGCCAAGGACTGACATTACCGAAGTAAGACATCATACGCAATTGATCAATCAGATGGTCAAAAATTATCACGGTAAGCGAAATAACTTCGCCCATTGTTCATCATATAGGTGTGATTTTAAAGCACCTATATGATAATGATAAAAATCATGATAAAAATATATAGGAAATACTGATCGCCAGAGGCCAAAATAAAGCCTACAGATCAGAACCTGTGAATAAAACTATATGATAATGAAAAAACAGTATTAATGATAGAACTAATTCCGAAGAAATGCTTATTTATAGAGCCAAGGGCAGCTAAGTATAAATATCTGATAGACACGTGGCCTCATATCAGGTCAATCTTTTTGAGTTTCTTTCAACTCCAGTTTATTCAGTGCACGTGATAATTTTCTCAATCCGGTTGACTTGATTCAAAACCATCTGAATCTCTTGCCTTCTATCCACGTTATACTGTGCTCTTCCATATCTAGAAATGTTGCAGCAGAAAAGTCACATATATGTAACATTCGCCCGGAAGTACATATCGACGGAAAATAAAGCCAGGTTCTAAAGAGACTGGCTAGCGTCTGAACACAGCTCTACATGGTTTTCACCGTCTCTGCCAAAGCCATTTCTTTTGGTGGTTTTCCTAACATCGGGTCGACAAAAACGTTAATGTTTCTGGCTTCGGTCAAACCACTCAAATTAACTTAATTGTATGCAAGAATAGTGAGCTCATGGCTGGGTCTCAGTATCCCCAGACCACGAAGTCACTCGTAAGAACAGGGCTACCACTATTTATTACATTACTATTGTTTTTCTTAAGTAGATAAAAATCATCATCTCCATCGAAGATGGATCAACCCTTTTGTGACATTCGACCAGAATGGCCAAAATGCAGTCTCTGCAGAATTCGGTATTTTAGCAGCAAGCCTTCCGAATTGGCGATTTAGAACGGATAAGGACGTTATTTGGACGATTAGCCAAACGGTGAAGGCTAGAAGATTCTGGAATTCTAATTTTTAAAAATTCGAATTATGACGTCATATTTCTGAGAAACGTCAGAGACGGCCATTTTAGCTAAAATAGCAGAAAGAAACAGAACAACTTTTATCTGCGATTGCGAACAGTACGAAAATCGAGATTGGAAAACGACAACGAACTACAGAATAGCAGAGAACGCTCCGAGTTGCAACTATTGTGCTGCTACAATAGTTGCAAGGCCGTTGCCAACAACGGTGAAGGGTGAGAACCAGCCTTCCGGATTAGCAAGAAATCAAGAGTAAGGAGCTTGATTCGGCGGATTCAAGAATCCGGAAGGGTCTCGGGACGGAAACTTTTGTTAACTCACATAAACTTTTAGCATCCTGTCATGTCCTGACTTGAATTTAACTGATATTTTGATTAGTTTTGACAAGGATGAGGTGCTAGGAGTTGGGGGAAAGGGTTGATCCATCTTCGATGGAGATGATGATTTTTATCTACTGAACAAAAACAATAGTAATATGATAAGTAGTAGCCCTGTTTTTAGGAGTGACCTCGTGGTCTGGGGATACTGAGACCCAGCCATGAGCTCACTATTTTTGCATGTAATTCAGTTAATTTGAGCGTTCTGGTCGAAGCCGGAGAGCAGTAACGTTTTTGTCGACCCGATGTAGGAAAGACCACCGAAAAGTACTGGCTTGGTAGAGACGGTGAAAAGCATGCAAAGCTCTGTTTAGACGCTAGCCAGTCGTCTTAAGACTTAGTCTTGTTATCCGTCGATATGTATCTTCCGGGCGAATGTTACATGTATGTTTTTATGGCGCTCCTGGGTGTTATTCTTTTTTAACATCATGATCGGCAGAACCGTTAACGAGCGCTCCGCGCCGAGCGGATGCTCACATTAACGCCCTTATTAGGCCTAAACCGCCGGGGCGGAAGGGTAGTTCGGAACGCGGAGGCCTTCCGGATTGCCGTGAATAGCTTTTTAACCTAGTTAAGACCGAAAATTCACAAACCAGGAAGGGTGGGGGGATCGGCCGTCCCCTCGTCCCCTGAGCGGTTGGTGACCAAAAACACTTAAAGATATAAGTAAAACCAAACAAAAAGTAGTATAGTACCCAAGAAAAACAAAAAACATAAAAAAATAACCGAAAAAACCAAAAACAGTAAAAAAGTAAAAAATCAGAAGAAATCATCCCCCCAGACAAGATGTGATTCAACCCCCCCGTTTGTTGTTGATAGATATATTGTTGTTACAGGCATTTATATCAGTCAGGATCGTTACGATCAATTTTGTGGCCCGTTTGTGAGGCTTGTACTGTAGGGTTATTTGAGCATTTAAGCACGTTAATGAAAAATTGCGCCCAATCCGGAAGGGTCAGCTGATTTGCGCTCAATTCGGAAGGGTCCGGGGTGAAGACCGATCCGGCAAGCAGTACAGGGAACAACAGGAAGAGGCTCAACGACAACTACAATCGACTGTTGGGTATCGTTAACAAGTTTTGTATCCCTTTTGGTACAAAAAGTAGGATAGTAATCTGTGGGGGGCTCGACAGTGCTGCACTGTAGTGACCCTTCACCGAACTGCGAATATCCGAGTTAAGCACCTTAATTCGGAGATTAAACAAACCCGGAGGGGTATAGTATTACTAATATTATTATTTATATAGCCTATATTAATAGTCTAATATCATTTTTCAGTGAAAAACAACGAAAACAGACCGGTTTTTAGGGTCAAAATAGCGATATTTTGATCCCCCCACAAGTCGCGATTTTTGAGATATCGATATTTTTTGAAACGGAAAAAAGCGCTAAGTTAGTGTGTTACATCGTAACTGCACTACTGTAACAAGTAGAACCGGTTAACTTTAGTTCGGAAGTGGTTGGAACTAGTTTGGTACCAAAAACCAAATTTTC